TCTCGCCAAAAGGCCCCCCCCCCCTCACTGTCTTTGGTACAACATTCAAAAGAACCGCAATCATCTCACAAAGTTCAAAACGTAGGGATTTCACCACTGAGACTTATGAAATTCAGTCGGTGTAAGGCAAAGAGTCCATACAAAGATGCACCAACTTTCTCTGGTACTGCTGAAAGTACTCACACACTGCAACTACTTCTTCCTTTTCGGGTTCGAGACCAGGCAAATCCGACCCATGATTTCCCGTCTCTTCTTCATCCGATTTCACGATTTCCGTATGGATTTCCCGACATGCGAGCATGAACATTGCAGCTGTGTCGGGTTGTTGCGCTCCCCTTAGGGCCGAGAGTGCCTCTTGCAGTGAACCAGCAGCCACATATAAGATAAGTGCCCTGCAGTAAACACGCATTTCCCAGCGTTAAACAGAAGTTTTTTTTATATCTTTCCGGGTATCGAGACGAAGCATCTAACTGAGAAGGTGGATAAACATATTGTTATGGTACCTCCAGATGTTGTGTTCGGCGTGAAGAACATGCTCGGCCCACCTTTGCAATACCCTGCGGGAGAGAGAGACGATAGATAAAAAAACAAGTGTAGAAGACAGGAAAAAAATGGAAGAAAGAACGAACCTTTCAAATAGCTTTCAGGAAGTAAGGCGATCCGAAAACTAGGATATATACCGAGTTCATGAGTTAAATAAAAGATACCTAGCATAATCCGATCCTTGTAAATGTGTGGCAGCCAAGGTAGCGGCGTCTGTCCACCGTCCAGAATCTTGGAGCTGGATAACATAACGGACGAGAACTTACAACGTTAGGTCAGGGATTACTAACAAGAGGTAAAAAGGATCAAATAGTGGAAAAGCATTCAAAATTGTTCACAGAGCAGCATTTGCAGAAAATCTCACGGACTTCCCAAATGTGAAACTATTCCTTAATGACCCGCAAGACGTGTTACTCCTCCTCTTTCTGCTAATTTAAACCCGGGATGTCGAATAAAAGAACCAAAACCCAGTATATATTAACAAGACAACTAGCAGAAAACACAAACACGTGCACGGTGCACCAGTAACGTTCACTATATACAACTCAACTCGATGCTGACAACGGATATTGAACATGTTAGAATTCTATGATCTGATTTTATCATTTTAGGATATTGGTATATTTAGATAATACATAGGTAGATTTAATATTTTCTGTTTATATGCTAGTTTCCTATTTTCACTCAATGTGTATCCTGTAAAAAGAGCACTTTTCTATGAGATAAGGAATCATGGCGTTGATCAAAGAAATAGTGGAAGGTTGAATACTACTTCCAATTGTATTCCAGCTCCTAAACTCCACAAAAGTTTAGATCTTTATCTTCTTCGATAATAGGGTCGATCCCAATCCTATAAAATTCAGAAGAGTTAAATTTAAGAAGTAAAAGAAGAACCCGACCTGCGAACAAGCTTCTTGGTATCTCCCGACAGCGCAGAGAAGGTGAATACCAGAGAGTGAATTGTCCGACCTCACCATGTTGGCTGCAATGACCTATTATACACGTTACTACAGCTTAGTGGACAATAATGGGAAATATTATAAATAACTATCAGATAAACGTAAAATGATACCTTCAGTGCAAGCTCGAGAAGAGATGTAGATACAGCTGAAGCAAGTGCAACGGCCCGAAGTGCATTCGGGTAGAAGTATGGAGATTCAGGGGAAGAAGAAAGCAACAAAGTAACAGCAGCTTCCAAATTTCCGACGGAAATCAGCCTGTTCATTAAGGTTGACATAAAACAGTAGTTAGTGAGTGAATTCACTTGTCATCACACAACATAAAGCATTAACCTTAGACTGTGGACCTCAATGCTCAAACTTGAATATCAAAACCTTTGTTCTTATTACTCAGCACAGACTTTTCTACTGCTGGAATAAAGAAGCTATTTCATGTTCAAGGCCTAAAGCAAGTCTGTTCCAGGTTTCATTAAATAGGTCAGCAACAAGTCCTACAAATTCTTCAACTACCGATTTGAGTTACATGCTCCTTTCAAACTTGTATGCTACTCATCTCAGATAATCTATGAGAGCAAATACATGCCAAATACATGCGCTTTTTTTTGCAGCTTCAGTAGTCTGCTCATTATGTCTAAATGCAAGCGGTTTTTTATAGTCATAAACATTCAAGAATATCATCAAATAAGAATATATATATATATATATATATATATGTAGGAGAAAGTATCTAAGATGAATAAAAGAAAATTATCGATATTGCCTTTAGAGGCATCTGTTTTGCCCTTGGTTTCCCAGTAGAGCCGTATATTCACACTTGGAAGAAACTTTTAAATTACTCTTTTTACATGCTCCAATCACTCTTTTTACATGCTTCAATCATGCTATCATGATATTTGTTTTTTAACCTTTTTATAGCAGAAACCAGGTAGCAGGCTAGAAACCAGGTAGAAAAAAATATTAAAAGTAACGGAAAGAAAATGAATGAGAACTAACTCATGTACTTGATTCTGAATGGCATCTTCTCCCTCCAATTTTTCATGCCACGGAAGACGTTCATTGGCACGGGACCATAACTCTTCTTGCTCAAAAGCCATTAATCTAAGCTGTCCATCACCCTGTAAAGTAAAATAAAATAATATAGATAACCCATCTGAGCTGACCGTGAATCAAAATCCACAATTGAAACAATACCATGTTGTCCAAAAAAAGGGTGATGTGAATCAACTCTGTTTCCATCTCCGATAACATTACTAACGCAAATTTTCACGTGAAAGAAATAGAATTGAAATGAAGTGTGACTGACCAGTGAATCTGTCTTCTTGGCTTCGGATGTCGATCTTCCACTAGATGAGATTCTACTCAGAATAGATGTCTCGTCAATCGCTGAATCTAAAGCAGGAGGAGAGATTTTCTGTGTTGACTTTCTCGCCAGCTTGTTCATCAGATGGCTAATGGCCTGAGGCAACTGCAACCAGAAAAGTGCCTCTGCCGTTTCGCCAAAAATTGCAGCAGCAAAAGCAAATCTTGCTGCACAACCTTTTCCAACAACAGCAGCATATATTTTTGCTCTCTCATCATCAAGCAAGCAACCTTAGACAAAAGAAATTGAGAGCAGTTAGTTAGTAAGCCTCATGGTTGTTGTCCTCAGAGAAAAGGGATCTCAGACTTGTAATACTAAAGAATAGAAAACAACCTTCTTTACGATAAGGTTCTAATATCTTCAGCAGCATCTCTGGCACCACAGGGTCTCCTATAGGCGGTAACTGAATCATGTAACTGCGAAGATCTTTAGAAGATGACGCCATTCCACCAATTAAATGAGGCCTTTTCTCCAAAGCGATGCTACTAGTATTAAACCAAGATGGTTTTACCCCCAACTGCAAGATCATCCGCAGTGCCTGCAGAATACTCACCAGAAGAAGTTTTCTAACCATTAAAGTAAAATATAATCGCAATTATTGGGCCATTTCCACAAAAACGGTTTTTGGGTCTGAAAATAAGAAGAATAATGGACTTACAAGTAATGCAAGTAAACAGTTAATTTTTTTTATATTATTTGATTTTAAAAGCCTTTTTCAATGTCTATTACTTTTACAAGCAAACTACGATTTTCAGAATCAGGAGTCAAGAAAGAATACCAGTGCATGTGGTACAGGAAGCAGAATGGGTGAGTACATGGGCATTGGACGAAATCTCTCTTTTACAGTTCTGGGACGAGGCACGAAGCCAGCCTTCTTTTCGCTTCTGCATGAATGAGGACACAATTTACATAACCAAATGTACGAGTGACATAACTACTCAGTTGCGAACTTAGCCATAGGTTAGCAACAATTGCAATCTAGAAATCTTAACGCCTAAAATTAAGAAGCAACTTTAGTTATATTTGGAGAAACAGCAAACATAACCTAAAACCCTCACGTGCAAGTAAGAGCAGACTGCTGATCAAGAAGTACAAGTAATTTCAATTCAAGGTATTCACGTGATTATCAGGATAAGAAAAGATTTTCAGAATGAGATGTGGAACACATACACATCAACCTCAATAAGGCGGAAGCTGCTATCAGCTCCAGCAATGCATAAAACAAGTGGATCAGTTTTTTCAGTTCTCACTGGCAACCAATCCAATTCCAGTACAAGGGTGCCCGGAACCTGAGGCTGTAGAAGAGAATTGGCCAACGGGTCTGGTGAATCCTGCAAATAACAGAAACAAAATGACAAATCGAAAACAGATTTTCTGGGTTGACTCAGAAAACTCTAGAACATAAAGTTAGTCACAGCTTCAGTTTCCTCTTCATGTTGCAGAATAATTAAAATGCCATTGATAACACAGCACCAGAAAGGTGCAGAAGTTATAAAAGCAGTAATTGCCTTAAAGACTTACGAGATCAAATACGGAGAACGTATTGTCGTTAAATAGAACAGCAATACGACCTCGGCTGCGGTCTCCCACAACAACAGGGGAAAATTTGATTCGACGTATTCCATCTCTGTGGGTATTAAATGCCGACGACTGTCCAGTGGTTACATCCCACCATCGTATGATTCCTGATCTATCTCCCATAACCTGAGGGAAAAAATCAATATGATTTCAAGAGAGAGGCTAAGAAGAAGAGAGAACACCGGATGCAAAATGACGCATACCACATGAGGTAAGCGATAGGCCATCGCTGTAACCAATCCATCCGTAGGAACAAATGAAGTAGATGGCCATTTTGGCCTAGAGACAGGCAGGATAATCTGTAGGTCAGTAAGAATTGGAGGGAGATGGCAGAAGAACTAAAGATCACAGAGGTGATTGCAAATGGTTCAAAGCATTATATCTTATGAACTGTATTCTAACGGATTTCCACGTTGTGGATTAAAACATTATTTTGCAACACTTAATAACCAAAGAAGAGCGAAAATTGAATACAAATGGAAGAAGAAAAAGTAAGAAACCCCACTTCAGCTAAGCTATGATGCTCAATCAATAGCACAAAATTGTTCTGTCTTCTCAACAACAGTTAATGCAATATAATATTTGTCAGCACAGTTCAACAACAATCTCTGAAGTCCGATATGTAGCTATGAGAAGAGTTGCAAGTGAATCTTTCAGCCAACTTGATGGAACTAACAGAAGCATATTTAATGAGTAATTCAGTTACTGGAAGACCAATGTTACCTGAAATCTCGAATCCTACGTCCTTGGACCTCAAATACTCCAAGGGCACCATTCACCAGTGCAAATGCAAAACTCTCAGCGGCTTCCTCTTGTGATCCATCTGAGCCAACAGACTCTGTAGATATGCCAACCAAGCGTAGAATAAGTAAGAACAATAAAGACCAGATTAACAATTCAGGATAACTAAATTATGGATTCATAGACATCTCACTAGAGTCTGATGCAGACACTGTTGTCGGGGCAGCTGCTCCCTCAGATGTTGTTTGCTCTTTAGATGGTGACAGCAATTGCCTAGAAGGACCACTTTGACCTGGACGTGGAACTGCTGGAAGTGTCCATTCCACTACCGAGAACGGAAGAGCTAATGATCTAAGCTACATGAAATGCACAAGGAATAATAACAAAATGAATTGATCAAACTACAAATCTCGATAGACACCGCCAAAAGCTAGAATAGGTGAATAATAATAAAACAATTGATCAAACTAAAGAATCTAAGGCCACGTTTGCAAAAAGAGATTTCTAAAAAAGGAAATATACAGATTATATTCTGACACATTTTTCATACTGTCTTGATTACTTTCTTCTCACACAGTTTCCACAACGAAACACTTCCAATGCTCCAAAAGTCTTTCTACATTACCAAAATGGGTTAAACAGAAGAAGAAAGGCTACAAAGTAGGAAAGTGAACTGTGAGTATTAGCTTCAGCACAATCAAAGTTATTTGGTGTTATGATGCTCAAGAGTAAACATGAATCAGTATACCGTGTGGTACCACATTCTCTTTCACTATTCTACACTTGAGTATCCAGAACTGGTCAAAGAAAATGAGAAGGCAAAGTGCAACATATAAAAAAGAAAGAAAGAAAGAAGCCATACATGCGACAGATTCTATGAAGTAAAAAGGCGTCAATAAAGTTTATGTGCCGAGTCAATGCAATTAAGCATTTATTATCATCTACTGAAGTATTTCAGACCAATATGAGAAAGCAGAAAGTTCTACGATTGTACTCACCATGACTGGATGCTTGGTCATTGCCCAGACTTCTACTGGAGCATCACGAAATAAAATTACAAGATACCTATAATGGAAAAGGAAAAAATTTATCTTTTACAGGTCAAATACTATGCAATGATTTACTTAACTTTTGAGCTGTAGTGATGTAAAGTGAAACAAAAGAAGCTACGAGTCTAAAAGCATTGGACTTGTAACTTTTAAATCTACAAAAGTTTCCGTAATTGTGAAGTGGTCAAGTGGTCCTCTTCCATCAAATATACTTTATACCTATTTCCTAGTTATGGAATAAATTAACAATACCTGACGGAGGCATTCTTGTTCCTAAATGTAACCTAGATAAGACAAGCTTATATTATAGCATAGATCCACATTCCTAATGATGGTGGGCGTCTGATGCTCAAAAGAAACAAAACAAATTATGCATGAATGTCAACCTCCCAGAAGACGAAGTCCTGAGAGCTCTTATGGGAGTACGCTCTGGTTTCTGTAAATCCCGGAATATTCTATTCAGCCCACTCCTAAGGCATGTAATGACAAGCTTATTAATGTATCCTCCGCTTTTGTCATTAACCTGAAACCACATCATGATGGATATCAAATTTCAAATTCTTTTCAATTTCCGATTGTCCTACTTGAAAGAGAAGAAACTTGATGCGATTCACAACACTAAAAGGCATTAGTTCTAAATTGGAATATCACTAGCGAAAGGAACATTATGCAATACGAAGTGGATAGGTACACACCTGACTGTAGGAAAAAGAAACTAATCTCGAATTTCCAAGCCACCGTAGACCCCTAATCACGCCATTGTGAACAGATGAGCTTACAGCAACAGCATTTGCAGATACATCAACAACATCAATTGTCCCACTTTGAGTTCCCAAAGCGACCAAAGGAACAGCTGCCGCAGGAATATTACCACCACCTTCATTTGATACCAACCAATTAATCAAACGATGATTTATTATATCAGTTCTCATAGAAAAGGATGTTATTGGTTATTATACAAAATATGAAGTATGAAACTAACGTGCTAAGGTTGCAGTAAGCGACGGGGATGGTACAGCAAGTGTAGACACAGTGGAAGAAAGAAGCTGAAGTTGTCCAACTAAGCGGATCTGCATCAAGCAAAACGGACCTATCAACAAAGAAATTAATGATAAAACTACTACAACCACAGGGTGTGGAATGTACAACACTATCACATGAGAAGCCTTTAAACCCAAACTTCTATCCTCTCCTGAACGAAACATCAAGAGACAGTCATTAAGAAAAGGACGAGATCAGTGAACCCAAAGCTCTGTCAACAACCAACCTTAAATGATATGTCTGGTTTGCTTGAGGAATTCGACGCATGGCCTTTACTTCTATTTGTAGGCGTAAATGCAAGCCCATCATCTGTAGAAACTTTTTTCTGACTTTCTCCAGGAGGTGCTGCTTCAGTGACAATAGTAACAGTAACCAAGTCTGACACATTTTTCTGAACATCTTCAACCCCTTCAGCAGTTAAGATCCACCTCCATATTTTACCATCATCAGATAAGGAGATAAAACTCGTCTTAGAAACAAGAAGACTTTCATCATAAAAGTCGAATGGGTTATCAAAATCCACAGATGGAGTTGAATCAGGATGAAGCTTCGTAACTGTTTGCATGGTGGAATCCGATAGGCTGAGGAGGACAGCAAGCATTGATGGAGAAGGAATGGACATTCCAATAGATGGCATCAACTCTTCCACTGTACACATGACATGCACCTGTTCTCCTCTACAATGATATGTAACCAATAACACTTCGTTTAGATGACAAACAGAAAAGATAGGTTCCTAATTTATTCAATATAATAAGACTCTAAGGCAGAGAAAAGACACATCAGATGATCAGGTCCAATAAGGCAAGCACTCCAATACTCCATAGACAACAGGAAGCTAGACACGCCCAATGTATACAGGTTTCCACCAGAACAAAAAGAAATAAAAAACATGTTCTGGTCACCTACAGCAATTTTGAAGCCAGAACTCATTACCAATTCTACAAGTTGATCACTTCTGTGAATTCAAAAGCTGGCTTTTTAAAAGACCAACATTAGCTGCTTAAAGCCGATTACAAGACCAACAGACAATGAGAACATACGACTAATACTTTCTCATCTTTCACTAAATCCCCTGCAAGCTTCTTCAAACTTATCATCAAAGCAGTTAAATCAACCCGCAACAAAGTGCCGAAACTAACTAAAGCAGATAGTTCGATCCAGTTATGATGTGCTCATCTTAAAAGTTGTAGGAGAGATATCCACTACAAAAATGTGATAGGAAATTGAATTTTAACAGGCATTTCAGTATTTGGAGGGCTTAGGGTTTCCTCCATCCCCGGGTTTGACCACAAGTAATTCAACAAAGAGCAGAAGAATATCTAATACATTTTTTTTTTGTTGGAAATATAGGATTACAATTCTCAAACTGATACTGAAGCCATGGTAAGGGAGAGTGAAAGCTTACTCTTTTCGTCGCCAAATACTGAGTCTGCCATCAACATGAGCACAGTAAAGCAACTCCTGGTTCGGATTCGGTAAGACATCTAGAAACTTGGCGCACCCACGCGGTAATGGCGCGGTAGAGAGCGCAGCTTCGTATTGTAAATCAAACACGACGAGCTCTCTGGGAAACGTCACGAACAGAATGTTCTTCCAGTGAGGCGAGAAGGCAAATCTCGCGTGGTACATTGGGAACGCCGCGGAAGCAGGAGAAGAAGACGATGAATTGCCATTGTTAGCCGCCTCTCTCTCCAGCTTCAGCAACTCGCCAATGTCCGTCTTGATCTGCATCTCCTTCAGAACGACGTCGTTCTCGGTGTCCCCGAGCACCTTGACCGACAAGAGGAAACCCTTGAGGCCCAGTACGCAGAAATGGCGGGAGTCGTATGGATCACGGCGGAGGCACGAGAGGAACTCGGCCGCGGCGTCGTACTTCCAGAAAACTCCGGCGTCGGAGGCGGTGGTCGTGTAGAGAGAGAGAAGCGCCGACCCAGATATCGCGGCGAGAACATAAGAGTCCTGCTTCGCCTGAGCCCAGCAGAGATCCTGGACGCCATACTTGGGGTCCGACGATGGATTCAGCCAGAGGACGACGGAGCGGAGGTGGAAATCGACGAGAGCGACGCGGCCGTGGCGGTCTCCGGCGGCAAGGAGGAGGTGGGAGGCGGAGGGCTCGGTGGAGAGGAGATCGCGGCGGAGGGGTAGAGGGATCCACCGGAGGGAGGTGACGAACGGAGAGAGAGCCGACGGCGGAGGAGGGAGAGGGACGGTGGAGACGAGCTGGAGGGAGCGAGAGTCAACGACGGAGACGGAGGATCCGGAGGCGAAGGCCAAGAGTCCGGTGGGGCTGAGATCAGCGGATCCGAAGTTGTTGCGGCTCGGAGGTCCCGGAAGGGTTGAGTCCCACGATTCCATCGGCGACGGTTTCAGTGGTGCCACCATGGTTGAAGCTTCTGCTCAAACTCTTCGAGTCTCTGTTCTCATTTGCCTTTTCCCCACAGGAAGAAGAAAAATGAGAAGGAATGAAATTGAAGGTCGAAGCCTCGAAGCTTTGGTCGCCATTGTTGCAGTTTCAACCTTAATTTATTAATTTTGATCGCGTTAGTTAATGTAATTTTGTAATTTAAAACTATTTTTTCATGAAACAGCGATTTAATTTGGATTTTTTTTTATCGATTGTTGAATTAAGGAATGGAATGAAACCAATATGAATGTGATTGTGAATACCAAGGCGACATTGTTTTTTTATTTTGTTTTGAGGGTTTGGTTTTCGATTTTTAGTTTTTGGATTTGTAAATAAAAAAAATGTTTTTTGATTTTTAATTGATTTTTTTTTTATAAAATATATTTTCAGTTTTTAAGAAAACTAAAATAAAAAAATTCATTATCGATTTTTTCATTGAAATCCAAAAATTTTAAAATGTCTATAGTCATACTAAATTTGAATATTTTTACTAAAAAAATATTCAGAATTTGAATTCTTATCAAAATACTCATCGATTCCAAACACATAAATAGAGAACACTGACGTAGTTTTTGTAACTGAACACGTAGGATACACGTCATATATAGTAATATATCGGTATTTTTCGATTCGATCGAATTGGATCCGGTTCAATTAAAAACCCAGTTCGATAATAAAAACCGATTCAATCGGTTCATAAAATACTGGTATATTAATATTATTCTGACGTGTATCCTAAGTGTTCAGTCAACATAAGTTACGTAAACGTTTTCAATCTATGTGTCAAAATTAGTTGGGGATCGACGATGATTTTGATAAGAATTTAAATTCTGAATGTTTTTTTAGTAAAAATCTTCAAATTCAATATGAATATGAAAATTTAAAAAGTTCATGATAAACTTGTTGATTACCTCTAAATTCGACCATTTTTTTTTAGAATTTCTCCAAATATAAATATAATATAAAAATATAAAAAAAACTTTAAAAAAAAAAGAGAGAAATCGATAGAACGAGACGAGAGTGTTGAAAACGAATAGGAATATATATTTTTTTACATAAAAAAATTTCAAAATATATAACTCTAATTTTAAAACGCGAGAAACTTTGTTTTTTTAAGAAAAAATGTCCGGAAGGGTTTAAGGACAAAGAGTTATGCTCAGAGACATCATGGCACGAATTTAGGGGTAACCTTTTATGTTCCATTGTTAGGGTCAGCATTTTAAATTGTTGATGCTGGATTTATTTTCAAACTAAAAATTAGATGTTAATTGCCTTATTTTTTTTACCCAATAAAATGTCTGATTTTATAATTTTACAAGTAAAATTGACTGAGCCGACAACGTTGGAGACCCAACAAATGGGCTTATCTTTGATGGTTTAAAGACTATCGTAGAGGCCCATTACTTGATTTGGTTTTCCATAAATTAAATATCTATTTTTCGTGATAATAATAATAAATAAATGATAAAAGTGTAAGCACCTAATATTTGGAATACAAGAATTCGGATGCTTTAAAAATATTTTAACCATTGGTCTCTTTGACATATTGCGGTAAAAAGACATGCAAAGCATTTAATTTTCTTGAGAGAATTATGCTAAAAAAAAGACCTTACTATTTGTTTTCAATAATGTGAAAGATCCGATTTCATAAAAAAATGTGAATGATGTTGAACGCTTCGTATATATATGACCTTATTCTAATAAATATTACAGTATATTATGATTATTAAAAAGAATATAATATGAATCATATGAAAAAGTATATATAATATGAATAATCCCACACAAGTAACACATCCAAACAATAGAATAAATCACACGAAAGCACAATAAGTAATTATATGACATAATTTAATGGCTTTGGTGGTTAGATTAATCACCAAAACGATTAAACGATAAGAAAAGAAGAAGAAAATATCATTTTTTTAATTTTGTTTTTGTTTTTGCATATATATGTATAAGTGAATTAGTATCAATAATATGACCAAACTCAAATCACAACCCAAATAAAAATCTAATTCAAAAGGGCATCTCAAAAAAAAAAAAAAAAAAAAAAACACAAACTGTGTTGATTAGTATTCAACTTTATCCCCACTGACTCAATCTAAAAATAATTTGAATATTATTTTTTTAGAATTAAATTATCCTATTAAAAAAATTGAAAATAAATTTTAATGAAAACCGAACACAAAAACAACTAAAAAAAACACCAAGTTACCAACACAACACACTCCAATAAACCGGCGACGGAGAGGGAACCGGCGGAGCTCGACGACGGAGCCTCTCCGGAGGCACCTGCGGTGGGGCCCATGGCGGTGGTGGAGGGAGTGGTCGTGGCGGAGCCGGGGGTGGTCGGGGCGGTGGAGTGGGTGGTAGGGGCGGGGGCAGAAGTGGTAGGGCCGGTGTGGCCGCCGGCGGAGGCTCCGACGACGGTGACGGCGAGTTTTTGGCCCATCATGCAGTGGTCGCCGACGGGGCAGAGGAAGAAGTGGGTCCCAGTGGTGTTGAGCGTGTATTTGACCGGCGACTTTTGGAAGAGGTCCAATGGGTTCTCCGTGTTGCAATTCTCGTACCCTTCTTGGTTCACGACCGAAACCTCATGCATTCCCTCCGCGAATTCGAACTCTGCCATGCAAAAATGTAAAAATTAAATTGGAAATCAATATTAGGAATATTCATTTTTCTTACATGAAATTCTCATAATCATTTGGAATGGACCGGTGCGTAAACTCCTATATATATAAATATAGGATCATATCCGGGAGTTATTTAATATAATCTCCAAATCCATATTCAAACTCTATCCACGTGCATGCATGCACGTATATGTTATCAACCTATCCTATGTTTATTCAAAATTCTCATATATATATATACACACACACACTAAAAGATCATGTTTGGAAATCAATATTAGGAATATTCATGTTATCAACTTTTAAAAGATCATGTTTTATATTTATGTTATTGTCTTTATAGAAAAAAAAACCCTGATAATGAAATAGAGACAGACCGAGAACATCGCCGACGTGAAACGTTTTCCCGACGACCCATTGGTTGTAGAATTCGGGATCGGTCGGTCGTCTCCATCCCATATCACCCCCTACGTCGTAATCCTCCGCGGCCACTGCCACCGCAGCCAAAACCACGAGGAAAAACGTCGCCGTTTCGAGAATTTTGGCCATTGCTCTAGCTCTTTGTTATTATCAGGTCACCCCTTTTGATATTTGATTTATATGTTTTTTTTTTTCGGATTTTGATTTGGGTTTGGTTGTTTTTTTTTCTTTTGTGGTGTTTGAATCGCGGTATTTATTTTGGGTGATTTCGTTGTATTTATAGATAAAATAAAAAAAGAAAATTCAAAATAAGAAACTCGAAGACGCGTTGACGTCGTGGAATTGTGAGTAAAAAAAGGCTAAGATTTGTATGGAAAACTTGCATTTTTAGGGTTACAATGAGCGGTTTACATTTCAACTAAACCGAACCAAAAAATCTAATTATATTTCATTTTATCTAAATTAAACTTGATCTAAAAATTGATTAAATGCTTTTTTTACAATATAATTAACTTAATTCAAAAATAAGTGAAAATCGAATATAGAAACAAAAACATTCGAAAACGTTTTTTAGATAATATTTTTAAAGGAAACCGGATTAGAATTTAATATAAATAGAATTCAAATTTGTACATAAAACCAATCAAGTATAGTTTTTATAAAATCAAATTAAAAAATAACCGAACCGAAATAGAACCAAACCGAGATGGACAACTTGATATTCATTTTTCGTTGTCTATAATGATTGTTTTGGAGTGGTTATTATTAGGGTGTAGAAAAATTTAGTCCGTTCCTAAATCTCGATCAAGTAAAAACGTTGCTACACCGGTAACTACGGGGCATATTTCAAAATTTAGAACCAAATTGAAATATTACGTCCTAATAATAACCATGACAAAATTAACTAACATATTTTTAAAAAATATATATTCTGAGGGTGTACAGATAAAACATTTTCCGAATTCAATCCGTGTAAAATTGGATACCTCATTTTCGGATAATTTTTTAGATAACTGCACGTCGAGGGGTAAAATTTATCCACGCATATGAATGGAAGAAAAAATCAAAATAAACTACAAAAAAAATATCAAAATAGTTTAAAAAAAAGAAGAGTGTGTCAAAATATTTAATTTATTGTTAGTATAATGAATTTATACGATTGTATCACTGTGATAATGAGACGAGTTTGCTTGTTTTGGTCACCGACTCACGAGGGAGAAGGCGAAACGCAAACGCAAACGCAGCACGCGGTCAGAGACGCGCATCTGGGCTCTGGAATGACTGTTTTAACCCTTTGCAATGACATAATTACAATCCTAATAAAATATTTGGGATGTCTCACTTGATTTTGTAATGGAGACAATGATAACGAGTCGAGAAAGTTTCATGGGAGCATTTGTAAATAGTCGAACACTATTACAACTAAATATTTTGGTCCGGATCTCACATAAAAAAAAAAAAAAAAAAACACAAACTGTGTTGATTAGTATTCAACTTTATCCCCACTGACTCAATCTAAAAATAATTTGAATATTATTTTTTTAGAATTAAATTATCCTATTAAAAAAATTGAAAATAAATTTTAATGAAAACCGAACACAAAAACAACTAAAAAAAACACCAAGTTACCAACACAACACACTGTTGTTAGTGAATTGCAAAATTCTACCCCATACCAAAAACAATACACATACCGTTTATATTGTAACCTCCAAATTTATTTATTCATCAATAAATCCACCATTGTATGAACTGAAGGCCCTCCACCTAAAATTCAGCTCAATATTCTGATTAGTATCCAACAGAAATTCAGCAGATAGAATGAAGAAACAATCGAAGTTCCAAAAAAAAAAAAAAAATACCCTCTCCTCCTCTGTTTTCACTTTGTTAGCAGCAAACAGCATCATTTCCAACTGATCCGAAGGAAACCCTCTGTTCATTCTCAGACCCGAACGTGAACTTGAGATCCGAAAACGAATCATCCTCAAGAACAGACGATGCATCACTCGTAAAAGGAACCGAGAAATCGAGATAAGGAGATGATCTGATATTACCGAAACTGTACTCAGGAATTTCGTCATCGTCCTTCTTTTTCTCATTTGCAGAAGCAGTGGTGGGCGGTGAGGACGGCAAGATGGACGGAGTCGGTGGCTCTGATGACGCTCCGGAAGATGACGAGACCGGAAAAGTGAAGCCCGAGCTCGGGTCGGAAGAGACTGCCCATCTTTGGATTGGTTTGGCGACGGAAAGGGCGGGAAGAACCGGTTTTGTGCCTGGTGAATGAGATGCGGGTTTCGGGAGACTCGGGGCTTCGAGCACCAAAGGAAAGGGAACAGCTTTCGCGGTATCCTGATAACAGAAATGATCAAACAATTGCATATCAGATTCCACATAGAAAGCCAAAACCGTCTAACGAATACGGTCCAAATTTCAGAGATCAGTAACCTAAATTATAGCATACATTTATTATCTTTAGGCCGCACAACAAGTAGCAAAAATAATGACAGAAAGATGCTCAGGTACTTAGGGGAAAAGGATTTCGATAATCACAGAAACTAAACTTGTATTCAACGACCAGGGTAATCCAATTTGATTCATTTTAAGGGGTTAGTTTCAGGATTTGAGACATTCCACTTCCTCGCCACTTTAAAACATAAAACTGAGCGAAACCCGAAACCTTAAACCCTAGCCTGATGGAAAATGTTTACGAAGGAAAAAAAAGGAAACGGCAGGAATACCTCTTCATGTTTACTTTTGGTATTAGAATCCTTAGGCTCTCCAAATCCAAATAAGAGTGCAGAACCACCACTGTTTGCTGCTTGTATTCCTCTAAATGCTCCGTTTAACGCTGTAGCAGTTTTGTTCCTTGCATTTTCAACCTTACTAGAGGTGGTACCTGAAATAGGTCTAGGTATAGAGGATGGCAGATTGTTAGGCAAAAAGATCCCTTTATCACTGTTCAATGCAGCGGCCGAACCATCCTTATCGACATTGTTCCCGTTCAAGCTACTTTTTTCCGCACCATCCAGAGGCTGGGACTTTCTCCACGAAGTGGCGAGCTTTAACTCGGCAGACTTATCTTTTGGAGTGGGCTGGTTCCTTTCGAGGTGCTCCAATATTGTCCGAGCAATCTGACTAGAATGTGGAGGCACAGTCGGGGTACCAATTTCAGACCTTTTATGCTTAGCATATGTTGACTGTGACCTCAAGGAGCTACCCGGCCCCCCTGCTTCAGTACTCTTCTTGATAGCCGGAAAGAAGCCTTCAGAATTCTCCAACTGGGGGGTACCGGTTGGAGGACGAGAATAAGGAGACATCCTAGAAGCTGTTGTAGCATTCTGGCGAAGTCTTCGGCTGGGCCCGAATGATCCACGGTCAGCATTTATTCCCTTGCTTTGTGTGAGCTGCAAATTGGATACCGATTACTCATGTCACTAAATGAACATGAAAGAAGCAATAGAGAAATTCTTAAATGCTGATGGTAACACAAACAAGATGTTAACAGCAAAGAAATTTACTCCAGGATGTGGGTAAAAGCAGGATGTCAGAGATACAGCAATTCGCAAAACCACAAACTTGGTTCATTCTTTTGTTACCCAAATCACATCCACCGGTCCTCATATTAAATGACCAATCGTCTGAAAACTGAAAAGGAATCTCGCGAAATAAGAACTTTCCTCATGATAGAAGTTACCAAATCCCTAGAAATTCCCATAGCACTAACACAAGCAACGGTCCTCATAGTCAGATCTAAGGTGCAACAAAATGCCGAATAACCAGTTATCAAGGAATCAAAATCCAGAACAATTAGTAGAGGACCTACTAAATATTATGAATTCAAAAAAGAGTCAAATAACTTCTGTAGACAAACTAGACAAGTCACTAACACACCAAGAAGGCATGACCACTAGATTATTGCAACAAAGGGTGGAGGAGATGAACCCTAACTTCTCAATTGGAACCTAAGCAGGTGGTTATGCTCCAGGCTTTTGCAAACTTTTAGTACCTTGATTTGGTTTTCTTGAAAGATATACGCTTATCTAAACACCTTTACAAGGTTTTCGGATGGTCAATTTGGTCTCAAGTGTGCCTTAAAATCATTTATTATCATTAGAATCCATTTTCAGATAGACAGACATTCCGCCATTCCGGACACGTCTAATTTATGGCACTTAATAGAAAAGCGCACGTTGAGAATATTTAATCATGTGGCAAAGTTAGCCACTATATCTTTTCCGGTTTTGCATAATGAGAGCAGTTCACAGGCTTGCTCCTCTTGTCAAATCTGGCTACTCTTTCATACAACAACAACAACAACAACAACAACATCGCCTTAACCCCAAGTTTATTTGGGATCGACCGCATGAATTCTGGCTGCTCTTTCATAAAGGTGAAAATTCTAATTCTAACAAACAGGAAAGGAAAGAAAGCAATGCGGCAAAGATGAACAATAAAATTCCAGGAGGATAGATGAACCAATAACACTAGTTCAACAAAACTACTTGGTCATATATCCTCTGCAATGAAATGTCCTAGACCTGAATATGGCGACTTTAGACATGGATAGTGGTCCAACACATCTAGGATGAATATGCTACATCGAGAAATCAATTAACAATCCAACAGGTAAGAAAGTCATATTGTGATAAATCTTTTAACAAAATTATATAACCTACTGGGAAAACATACCTGTCCATATGGTGTCTGCATATGTTGAGATGGAGACTGGAAGATGTTCAGACGCTTGCTACTATCATCTTGCAATTGCATGAACTGAGGAATCATTGAGAGTGATACAATTTACTAATTAACTTTGAGCAGATGGTAACTGAAAAAAAGCAGTCAGAGTTCCACATACCTTTGACTTGGACTTTGAGAGAATAGTTCTAGAATATGGGGTCCTTGGAAGATTATGGAGCCCAAACCTTTCTCGTTGACTTTGTGGAGTCCCAAAACCATATTGCTCTGTTGACTTTGCACCGGGCCAACATGTGGATGGCTTGCATGAGGGCGATGCTATTGACGGTTTTGCTGAAAATATATCCCCATCGAAATTATCCCTTTCATCCATTGACAAAAGACCCTTGGAACCTAGGGTTGGTGTCTGTCCTCCCATATACGCCTTAGCAAGTTCAACTGGTGAAAGACCGACCTCGTCCGGTACCTAGACAATGTTTATTATCATACACAAAAGTAAAATAGAGTAACTGAATAACTCAGAAAAATCAAATAATTTTGGCTTGTGGAGAAGCATAAACAGTTATAATAAAGAAAAAGATTGCAACCACATAGCTCTATCCTTGTATCTACTTCCTCGTATGACTTTGCCTAACAGTCCAGACTCTGACACCTCTGAGACAGGAACCCTAATAGACATAAACCTCAACTTTGTCCCTCATTTCATTCCTAAGTTTCCCTAAGCAACTCAGGTAAACAGCAAGTTCCAATACATATGTTCAAACTCTATCAAGCCCTACAGTAAGAAATTAACTCACAATAGGTTTGGTGAGATGGGTTGACACTGCCCACAGGTCATTTTTAGTCTCCTTGTCACTGATAGTCTCTTTCCTCATTTGCAGAGAAACCCCAAAATTCTTGGCTTCTTCATCCAAAGGCATACCTACATTTTTCTTTTCCTTCCCGGCATCAGGTAGATCAACAGCCCTTGAACTTATTATCTCTAAAAGGCGATCAACTTCATCCCTGGATAGTGATTGAAAGATTTCAAGGGGACTCTTCTATGTAAAATAGAACCAAAGAAAAACAGTGAACAAAAGAAGGAAACAACAACCAGAAAGGCGGCAAAAGAAATAAACCAGACAGTAATTACTATAGCACGAGAAGCAATGTTTCCATCAAGCACCAGTCTCTCTCCAATTAATTTAAAAATGTGAAACTAATAAACTTACCGAGAAAATTTTCTCCCCTCCATTAGCCTTTCAAGCTCTGAGATTCCACCATCATCATTAGAAGTCGTTTTTCCTTTTGCTTGTGCACTGATATCGAAACAAGCGTGTTCTCCTTTTTCTTTAATCCTAGGACCTCCCACGTTGGTTGATATTGGAACTAGGTTCTGCAAATTAGTCCAGGCATTAAAAATATCCCTAGATGTATGCTATCTTTTGCAGATCACAGATATTTTAAGATAAAATGCCAGCTTTTAGCAGCACCAGTGGTAGACAAATCAATCACTGGCCATGACAACAAAATCAGTAATTAAGCTTCCAAGCCAGATATCAAAAGAAAAGAAGAGAGGAGGGAATCTTACATTTGACCCCGGGGTAAGATTACCGTCATCAACATTATCCTTCAAATCAATTTGTGACTTATCTACAATGAACAAGGCCGAATGTTAACCATGCCATTTTGAAACACAATCCATTATCGTATTCCAATTTCCAGACAATTAGAAAAGCAGAGGTCAGTCACTCATCAACTATAATAAAGGTGGCTCTAGACCTCAGAATATCAATCAGCAAAAACTTCCCCTGTGGAAATAAGTTTCTGAACTACATCAGATAACATGAGAAAGCTACTCTGCAAAGTCTAAAATGAGAAAGTGAAATATTTCCAGCATGCAATTGAGAATCAAAATTTTCAAAGCATTAATTCATAAAAATTAGTTTATACCGAATCATTTTCACTAATAAAGCATAATATTGGAATATTTGCACAAAACGATTATATCTTTCAGAATCAGTAAGAAAAGTGCGCCTTTCACTGATTTGATCAAAACCCTAAAACCCTTCATCTGCCCTTGTTACTAAACCCTAAAATCCAAGAGAATACGGTACTAATCCCTAAACCAATCACAAACATCGATCTATAAAATCAAATCATATACTCCAGGAAAAAACCAACGAGTAAAAGCCAAGTCTTCTATAAGGCGACAAAAGAGAAGAAATCGAAACAAACCTTGATGATATTGCTCTTGCGCATCGGAAGCGGGAAGAGCAGGAGCAGCGTTTTCCCTCGAGAAGAAGTAAGGGAGAATTCTGGTGGCGCCTCCGGAGAGAATCCGGTAAGCAGGGTCGACGATTCTCGAGATCCAACGCCGTTGAGACTGATTCTGCGCCGGCCGCGAGTACGGCGTCGCCGGAGCCTTCCTGGCCGGTTTTCGCCTCAGCTTTCCGCCGGCGCCTCTCGGTGTCTCCGCCGAGAACGAAGCTTCTCCGTCATTGGCCATGTCTCCCTTTCAGTTCCCGGCGACGATCAAGAGCAGAGAGAGAGAGAGAGAGAGAGAGAAACTCGAAGGCGATTTCTTTTTTATTATTTGGTTTCAGTGTTTCCATTTTCACGACGACCTTTTAAGACTCTAGGTATTTTTTTCCCCTAAATATTTTTTAATATTTTTCAGCTCTTTTTATTTGTTCAAAGTTCTAAGATTTAGGTTGTACCAATTTATATGAATTATTTCGATTTTTTAGAGTCTATAGTATAAAATGTAGGTATAAAAAAAAAAGAAGAAGAATCTAAATGTAGATTTCAAGAATCTAAGTTTGAATTGAAGAGATCTAGAATGACTCTCAACGGCATTATTAATATTTTTGAGTTTAAAGAGCTAAAGATAGTTTAAGAAAATTTAATTTCAAATAATTCAGACAAATTAATTTTATTGAGTTAAAACAGTAAAAAATAAAAATGAATCTAGACAATTAATTTTATTGAATATTCACAATTTTTAGAATATTTGAACCCGAAATTCACAAATTATTAATTTATTGTCCACATTAGAATTTAAAGAATTTGAATGCCCTAAATTTATACCAGTATTTTAAAAGTTCGTCCGATAGTTTGATTAATTAACTAAAAACTATACTTTAACCCGATAAAATAAAACCAAATCTACCGTACCCTTTCTCCAAATACTTAAAACATTCTACAACTATGTTCTATCAGATATGATTATGATTTTGTTAGATTATGTTTTTTCTTGGCTCGCTTTCATCTAGAATTGAAAAAATTCCATAAAAATATCATAGTTTATTTAGATGTACCACATAAATACTATCAATTTTAAAATTACTAAATAAATAGTTTAATTTGATCATTTTATACCAAATAAATATTAAATCAACGACCTCATTAATCGATTCCAAAATAGATATCAAATTGATACGTACCGTTTAAATAAATTGTGGTATTTATTTACCAATTTAAAGATTGAGTTATTTATATGGTACCGTTTAAATAAATTGCAGTATTTTTATGAAATTTTTCATCAAGAATTCAATAAACAAACAAAATATTTTATTGAATATGTAGCAAAGAAAACCTACTCTGATTTTCTATATGCAGTCTCTCTATGCATGTATCTTTTTTTTTTTTGTGAATGTAAAAATACAGTGTGTTGGCTTTAGTTCTAAAGCAAAGAAGACAAGACAGAGATTAGATATTTAACTAAGACCGAATATGGGCGCCGAAAGGAGACAAGGTCCTGACCAAAGTCATGTGTTATAAGAGAGAACTTTCAACATTACCCATCTGTTCTTCGTCCCCACCAAGGGAAAGAAACACTCAACATCTTCATCTCTTTCCTCTGATTCCGTAAATCTGAACCCATCATCGTCCAAACCTAATCCGAATCAATGTCACGACGTGACTCGGCCTCCTCTTCCCACCGATCAAGCCCTAACAATGTCTAATCAAAGCCCTTCAGTCATTTCGCCATTTTTTCTCTCTTTCCGGGCTTTATAATGAACAACACAGCACATCAGCTCCTCAGTGGACAAAAACAGAGGAGAACAGGGCGACAACGACAATGGTGGATGGTGAAAAGGGCCTTGATGACGAGCCGAGAGATACTTACAGGGTCGCTTACATCGTCCATTTCTTGCTCGGGGCCGGGAGTTTGGTCCCGTGGAACTCTTTGATCACGGCCGTCGATTACTTTGGTTACTTGTATCCTGAGAAACATGTTGAGAAGACTTTCACAGTGGCTTACATGAGCTGTTCTGTGTTGGTTTTGTTTGTGATGATGAGTTGTGGTTTCTGCACTACGAGGCTGAGTTATAGGCTGAGGATGAACTTGGGTTTTGCCATGTTCATTGCTTCTGTAATGGCGTCTCCCATCATAGACTGGACTTGGAAGAAAGGCGAAAGAGATGAGAATGTTTCTTACATCTTGACCGTTGGATCCGTTGTTCTTTGTGGTTTGGCTGATGGATTGGTCGGAGGAAGTTTGATTGGCTCAGCCGGAAAGCTTCCCAAACAGTATATGCAGGCGGTTTTCGCGGGCACTGCCTCTTCAGGTAACTTCCTTTCGATTCCTGATTCAATAAAACAAAGAACTCAACTTAGAAAACCCAACAACAAGATCATGCTCTTAGACAAAAACTAGTTAGTTTGGATCTTGATCAGGCTATTGTTCTTTGTTCTCTGTTGTTGTTAAGGTGTTATCGTGTCCGTCCTGAGGATTACGACTAAAGCTTCCTTGCCACAGACACCACAGGGGCTCCGAGCAAGTGCCCACTTCTATTTCATCGTCAGTTCCACCATCCTCTTCTGCTGCTTCCTATGCAACAATTTGCTTTACAAGTTACCCGTGATGCAGCATCATAACAAGCTTCTTTTCCGAGATGAACCCTTGTGTTCAACTACGAGGATTTGGGAGGTCGGGAAGAAGATCAGGTGGCCAGCTTCGGCGATCACGATGATATACACAGTGACACTGTCCATATTCCCTGGATTCATCGCTGAGAATCTGAAATCCCGACTTCTGCAGAGTTGGTATCCTATTATGCTCATCACAGTGTACAACATCTCGGATTTCGTGGGCAAGTCTCTCACCGCCTTATATCTATGGCAGAGCATAAAGAATGCGACCTGGGCTTGTGTGGCCAGGCTTCTCTTCTATCCTCTCTTCTCTGCTTGTCTCCGTGGACCCGAGTGGCTTAGGACAGAGATTCCGGTGGTTGTCCTGACGTTCCTGCTCGGCCTGACTAACGGTTACCTCACGAGCGTGCTTATGATCATGGCTCCTAAATCGGTTCCTGCAGCAGAGGCCGAGTTAGCAGCCATCCTCATGGTTGCTTTCCTCGGTGTCGGCTTAGTCAGTGGCTCAGTTCTTGGTTGGGTTTGGCTCATCTAACATTGTATAAACCTGAAATCCTTTATCTGCAAATCAAACTGAGCAAAGAATATTTCATTCTTAAAGCAGATACAACCATTGATAGTTCTCATGCTAATCCAATGTAACCACATGAATCATTATCTGCATTTTCATCACAAGATCTCTGAAGAACAATGCTTTGACAAAACAAGAAAATCTTGGCTATTCACATGGAAAATTGTAGGCTTCTTGAACTCTTCCAATTCTTATTTCGACTACAGAAACGAAAGAGAGACATTTACATACATAAAAAGCAAAACCTTTATTCCATGTTATATCATTTTTCCTTCTTCATTGTGTAGCTACACTGAGGAAACCCTAATCTGAAGCAGAAGAATACCAAGAAAAGCAAGACAGCTACAAAAAGAAGAGGAATTAAACAACAGGGTTATCTGGTTAGTGGTATTATCCAAGCTATCATACAACGAGATCGCCGCCGGAATAAGCTACGCAGGCGACGATATCGGAGACTGCCCGTTGAAAACATTCAGATTTGGGGTTTGGCACTCATGTCCTTCTTCCTGCTCCTCTTCATCTTCATCCTCGGCATCCCATAGAAATCGAGCATATGATGCGAGCACATAACTGTAGCAGCAAAGAATAAAGCTAACGACTTCAGCCAAAACCCAGAAAGAAAAAAAAAACAAAACTTCGCCAAAGAAATGATCACATGCAGCAGGAAAAGCAGCTGCTTCAGACATAAGTTTCGGAGTAAAAAGCTTATGGAGAATCCAAAGACTTGCCAATCATCGGGAGCAGCTTTCACTGCTTGATCAAAGTATGTCTCGGCACGAGATGAGTCTCCATGGCTCTGCCATATCAATTCTCCGTACATAGACAACACATCCCCGTTGTTCGGGTTGGCCAAGATAGCTCTCCCGCAGTATTCCTCTGCTTTCAATAAATCTCCTCGTACCTGTTTCAATCAAAACAGATCAAAGCACTGGATCAGTAATTTGTAGCTCGAAAAACCGAGGAAATATATCAATGATATGATGAAACCTAACCTACAGAGGACAAATCTATACCTCCTTCAAGAACTTTGCGTAATTGCTGAGAAGAAGCCCATTTCCAGGGTTTGCCGCAATCATCTTCTGGTAGTGAGCTTCTATTACATCATTTCCCTTCGGTTCCCATGAACCGAAACCCCCATGTCCATCTCCGCCGTCAGATCCGCCGCGGCCGCCGAAGTAGATATTCCCGCCAAATCCACCAGCACAATTGCCCACCGAAACCTCACGGCCTTCCTCCAAAGCCACACCCAACCCAAATCCGCAGTCCAACGAAGACGTACGAGCCAACCCGAACCCGATCCCTTCCTCTCTAATCTCCTCCACCGGAGCACCGTGCAGAAACTTACTCGCCGGCGTCGCCTTCGCAGACAAATCTCGGAGATCTGTCTCCGACATCGCCCTGCTCATCCTCCTCGTCGCATCGCCACTGGATTGTACGGACATCGGGCTGTAACAGCAACACGAAGAAGCCGACAGCACCACAGAGCTAGTACGAGGAATCTGGTGAACAAATTCCCCGTTGATGGGAGATTCCCTAGGATTCGAGACATGAACTAAGGAATTCAGAACCGGCGTCGATGCACTTCGTAACAGCATTTCCTACGAACGGATTGAAATTCTGGGGCTTTCTCCGATCGAATTGAGAAAATTTATCATACAGGGTTCTGTGATTTGGAGAAGAATGCGTTGCCCTCTTTTATATATAGGTGATGTCACGGAAATGAAATCTGGACCGTTGGTTGAGCTTTCATCACGTGGATTTTTTTTTAATTTTTTTTTATTTAAAATTTGTTCTCCAAGTTGCGCATTATGGACTGTTTGTTGGTATTTTAATTTTGTCGGCTTCGTGGGATTTTTTATATCAAATTTTCATGTCGATTTCGTCTTTCCAATAATTATTTGGGTAATAATCTTTTTTTTGCGGTTAATTTTGATTCTAAATATAAATATTTCATCATTGTTTTCGGCAAAAAATGATAATATGTTGACAAATGATTTATTGCTGCTTATTTCATATTTTTTTTACAATTTAAAAACGTTAGCATATTTTTCTTCCCTCTTCGACGAATAATTTCCTTATTTCGTGATAAATTGATAATTTTGTGACCACAAAAAATTTTATATTTTTAGATATAACAAAATGTTGCCGTATAATTGTTTTCTTTGTTTTTTCACCGTGCATATCACATTCCGTGAAAATTGAAAGCTATCCTTTTTTAAAACTCTATTGTTTCTTAATTTTTAAAACAATCTAAAAAAATTTATTTATTGTACATTAGAAACAATAGAAAGTATGAATAGATATTTTGTAGAAATTCGAGTTTATATTTCTGGTTAACTTCGAATATGAATATTGATTCCTATAAATTATATACGTGAATAAGAACATAATATATATTAGTTTGAATGTTTAGAGGTAAGAGAATTCCATTAAATTTTTTATGCATTTTTTATTTGTTTTCTAAGGATTCTCGAATAATTCTATTTGCAGTGAGAATATATAAAATATATCTTTTTTTATTTGACTTTAAAAAAAATATTTACGTTAATAAAATATTACAGTGGTAAATTTCTAATCGAAAAAAGTTAGAGAAATCTGGAAATTGCTCTGGAAAAAAAAAATCTGGGAATTGTTCGAGATAAAAAAAAAAAAGCAATGGCAAACGCAAATGCGGGTTGGGTTTTGGATAGGGTGATCATTTCGGATTTCATTTCGGTTATTTTGGTTCGGTTCAGATTTAGTTTTAGTACAAAAAAATTTTATAAACGAACGGTTAAATTTAGATCGGTTCGATTATATTCGGTTATAAATAAACACTAATATATACGAAATAAATTAAAAATAGCTTTAAAAATTTTGAATTACATTATAATATTAATATTAATCATTTAAAACTATCAATCCAAATCAAATTCTTCCAAAATATTTAATCCAAATTTTAAATTACAAAATTTTCGTTGGTATTAGATTCGGTTATTCGGTTCAGCTCTAGGTCCAAACAAACCGTGATGTTCATGATATTTTTAAGTGGGTCCCAGTTGTAGATTGGAATCTACGACCGGTAGAGAGATATTCCATTTTCTTCTCGGATTTTCTTTTGAATTTCGTCTTTGGTTCACCGAATTTATACAACCAAACCAATTTCATGTTAGTTTCATCAATGAGATGTTATTTTGACTAAACATGAAAAATACAATTCAATTTGATTTCGAATTATAGTAGTTTTTCTACCCCAATTTCTAGAAGAAACCTATAAAATAAATGTTTTTTAAGCGTTTTTGATAAATTTCTTCATATCCAATATATGAACACACAATACATTTATATAGATAAAATTATTTATATCCGAAGAATTCCCAAATCGTAAAATCGTAATATAAATCGAAATTAGAATTTAAAATAATCTTATTTTATAAACTCGTATTTAAATTGGGGTGATATAAAAAAAAAACTAGTATTTTAGAATGAAGTTAAATGTTTAAAGCAAAAAAAAAAGAAAAGAAAAAAAAAAAACTCAACCAATATAAAATTGAATCTCTTCCTCCAGAGTCAATGTGCCGAGCTTCGGATTTGCTGACGTCACGTAGAGCCCACGCTCCCGCGCTCAACGGAGGAGGGAAACGGTGAGGTCGCCGCCGTCTTTGAGATGTCCAAATTTCTTTATTTTGGTTATTAAGTGGGTCCCACACTAAGAGGATGGATTTTAATTTTTAATTTAGAAATTATTAATTCGAAAATTTATAAATTATAAAATAATTTATATTTTATGGAAGTATGGTGAGATTAGCAAAATTTACAATTTTATATAATTTTTTTTTGAAAGTTTGTAAATTTTTAAACTATTTTTTATTACATATATATATATATATTCAGATTTATTTTGTATTCAAATTTTAGTTTTAAAATATTTCTTATTAAAATAAATATTTTTCATTATAACAATTTTTATATTCACATTAAAATTTAATTCAGTTTTTTTAAATACATGAATTGATTCGGTTTTATACAAATAAGATTAAAGGCAGTGTTATTTGTGGCATCTAGTTGCCCTGGTTATGAATAATGGATGGATCCTCCCATGCCTAATTTATTAATCCGAATCTTTAATATTACATGTAAACACAAACATTGATTTAGACAGGGATAAGAACAGCACTGGTCTGTCATTATTGCATTGCTGTATATACCCCCAAAAGGCAAAAATAATTTAGGAATTAATGAATTTTTTTTTTAAAAAAAAAAGAGAGGATAATATATCTCCAATTTACTACAACTTGCCATCCTGCAAAGCCAAACCCTCCGACCAAATCTCTCACTCAAATCACTTACCAGTTGAGTTTCTTGAATCCAATCTTTTAAATGGCTGGAAGAAACTCAATCATGGCGGCAAGGCTATAAAACATGCAAACACCAGGAATCTTCCACGTCGAGCTATAAAAATCATCAACAGTTTTCTCAAAGACCCTTTAAGATCTTCAATGTCTTGGTACTAAAAGCATATGATCTGTGTGATCATTTGGTGTTTTACAGCCTTAAAAGTCGACAACGTTTCTTACAGATCCCCTAATCCAGGACTGTACCCTCTAATATCAGCAACCGGGTGATGCAAAACAGAGGAATTCCGAGCAACAGATCCAATAATGCAGCCACAGGAACAACATACGACTGAATACGGCAGAAGAGAGGCGGATTTCACCTGGAGAAACAGTGATTCAACAATGACATAAACTCGTGAATTCAAACGGAAATGATAGCGGACGGTTGCGTTGTAGCCCGTCGCTAATTCCCCTGTTTGAACAGAATGGATGCTAGACCCGCCCTCCATCCGAATATCCCCCCTGATTGAGGCCTCCTCGATAGAAGTGAGGCGAGACCAGCAGATACGTTCTGATTCGGCAGTTCTGAGAGACCACTCTTAGCATTTGACTCCATCGACCTATGATACAACCAGCAAATCAATTTGTAGTATTTTGAATTGCAGATATCAACGTCAATTTTCACAGAACAATTTGGAAATGTCGGAATTCCATGTTGCAAGGAACTTTTGGATTTAAGTGAAAGTTGTTTGCCATCCATGTTCCCTCTAAATCCGTTTCTTCACAAGGGACGATTCTTGGATTCACAACACAGAAGTTGCATAATCTTTCATCACGGGCAAGAAAAAGGTGGGCAAAACAAATTCACTTACGCAGGAGGCGTGATTCCTTCATGAGTAATGGAGGAGAATCCTTGCCGCTGCTTGTGCTTAGGGTTGGAAGAGCATAACACATATACACGTCCTCTACGTTTGACCGTCCTACAGAACTCACACATCTTCTTCACAGATGATCTCACCTTCATTGTTGTTCCTCTCTGCAATTCACATACCATTATTGTATAGATATATCTTTCATCAGAAAACCCATTAGATGAATGAGAACCCCAACACAAGTTCTTCATGAACTCGGCAATCATCTTTTAGAACCATTGTTTCGGAAATTGATCTAAGTAAACAAACCCACTCCCAAGCAACAAACTGAAGAATCATTGGCTCTGGATTTTACCCATTTGGTTCGATTTACGTCTAAAATCCGGAGAAAAACTGAGAATCAAACCCTGGATACAACCCTAACTGAATCCTGAACTCGACCCAGATGCGAAATCGATTGAAAATTACGGTAAAAACTCGAAGGATCAAATGGAAAACAACAAGACATTGAGACATTATAAGACAAACCAAAACAGGAACCTGATTGTCTGAACCTGCAACACGGAGCCGGCAACTGGAGTGGGTGTGTGTTTGTGTTGTAGGGAGAAGGGTTTACGACTGTTTGGCCACACAGCTTATTTATTGGGCTTTAATCTTATTGGGCCTTAAAGAACAATTAGCGAACTAGCCATCGTTCGTGACTTTCGCCACTAAAATCAAATCTTTTATACCAAATTAAATAAATATTGTTACCATTAATATCTTTTAAAATGAAACGACAATGGAAATATTATTAATCTTAATTTTTTCATAGATACTACTTTGTTGTCCCGTGAAGGATGTTTCTATCGGAATATCTAAAATATTTTTTAAAAAATGGGATGAATGTAACATGATAGAAAAATAAAAAATAAAAAAATATTGGATTATAAAAATAATAAAAGAACTTAATTAAAAAGGAAGTTTTCTTATGAAATTAATATTCATAAAATTGAAATCAAATGCAATGTAATATAGAATGAAAGAATATATTTTTTAAAAAACAAACAAAAACTAAATATACACAACACTATGCCCCAAAATCCTCTTTATAAGTGGAAAGACATTATTGATAATACTAAAGTTTTATAGATTGGGTGTTTATTATTTTAGATCCATCAAATATTCTCTTTTTTTTTTCTTTTTAGTTCCTTTTTAATTAGTACTTTTGGGTAGCCGTCGACTTAGACTTTTACTTGCTTAAACTATTTTCCCCCAAAATTTATTTTTGTTGTAAATAAAAGTCACACACCCATCAAAATATATACTTATTTAAAGAGATGTTTGAAAAAGATTGTGGCCATCCTGTTTTTATAGATAATAAAATAGAAAATAATATATGTGGCTCTTTTTTTAAAAATAATTTATTATAAAATTTATTCCTTTATGTAACTTTGTTTTTTTTATTTCTATTATTCATGCCATCAAAAATCACTAATCAATATTTCTATAATTACGATTTGGAATAATAATAATAATATATGGATCACAAAGTAGAAGCACTTACTAAAACTTATATTTCATCATTTGGTTATAATAGTTGTGTATCATGTCAACAATGACATAAAATATATTTTACCAAAAAAAAACAATGATATAATTATAAAATATAACAATGATAATTAATTTTCTAGTATTTGTCCGACCGACGAATTAGAAATTTAAGCGCATTGGTCCAAAAGCAACCTGGTCGAGAGTAACATGCTCTCTCTCTCTCTCTCTCTCTCTCTCTCTCTCTCTCTCTCTCTCTCTCTCTCTCTTTGGGCAATGCTCTGTTTGCCTTTGATATTTACCAAAATGCCCCTGACATTCCCTCTCTTTTGCAAAAGTCCCCGATAAAAAAAAAGAAAGAAACAACAGCTACAATACAAAGGGGGTGGATACTGTGATGATGTGCTTTTGCTCTCTCTCTCTCTCTCTCCGCATCGATCACCCATTTGTCATCATTTCAAAAGCCTCTCTCTCTCTCTCTGGCGTTGAAGAAGACGCTTTCTGCTTGGTAGGTTGTGCCGTTGGGGGAGTATGATGGGCCCGAATTTCCACTGAGATTTTAATGTAGTGAATTTGGTCTCTGTCTCTCTCTTTTTCCCTTCCTTGTTCTCTCGCTGTTTCGCATTTCCTTGTCCTTTCTCTTTCTGGGGTTTCTGTTTGTTTTGTAGAGAGAGATCACAAATTCACGTGTCTTTCTCATCTGGGTTTTCAATTTTCTGAGTTGGGTTTGCGGGAAAGTATGTCTTTTGGTTGAATCTCGAGGAATTTCGGCGATTTTCTGAATTTTTGGTTTGTTGGTGGAAAGAAAAGTAAAAGTCAGACCACAGTTCTGGGTCTAAGCAGAGATCTCTGGTGTTGCTCGCTGCCTTCCTTTGTCGTTGCTGCTGAATCGCATCACGAAGCTTCTGAGAAGATGGTGTTTGGCTCCGGCGTTCTTTTCTTCTGATCAAACTTTTCCGGAGAAAGGGCTCTCAGATGGATAGAATGATTCAGCCTCCTTTGGTAAATCCATAGATTCCGATGTTCTTCCTCGTTATAGGTTGTTCTTGTTGATTATGGAAAATTTTCCTGAGTGAAAATTTTGACTTTTCTTATGAATCTACAATCTGTGTTCCCTGCTTGCCTTCAACTTTCCGCTCCATGCATGTTCATCAATTACTGCTCACGCTGTGCAAACAAAGTTAGATTCTTGGAATAATCGATGACCTGCTTACTCACATACTTTACGTGTTTGGATAGTGATGATTCTTTTTGGTAGGGGTGATTCTTGAACTGTTGATTCATTTGATTTTGTCAGCTGAAGTTTCTAATACCAATTTAGTTGATGCTTCTCTATGAATACAATCTCCTAAACCTTTTCTCGCCTGTTGTTTAGACAGTGTTAAGGTATCTTTGTTCGTTAACAATGGCCGCTATTACATTCTCCTTGCCAGTGTTGCAAGAAAAGGGTAATATGAATTCATCCTGCAAATGGTTTGCTCTGCCTTACTTTGGATTCCAACATTGGACCATTGTTCATATTCTTATCTCAGACATTTGTGAGATTTTTGGTTTGAGTTCTGTTCGTAAATTGGATTTTTTTGTGTGTAAAGGGTTAGGTTGTTCTATAGAGCAAGGCCTGGTAATAGAATCATATAATAGATATGAAGAGAGGAAAATGGCGAGTGATCAATGCGGAGTTTTTGCTTTCTCTTAGGCTGTAGGCATTTCGGGAGCTGCCAAATCTTTTAAAATGGTTTGTATCGATCTTCTTCATATAACGATTTCTTCAGATCGTTGTTTTCTTCCGGGACGGGAAGCTCGAAGACTGAAGTGCGATCCCTTTTGCATCTTTCTGCTAGTTTTTCTCAGCCGTTCTCTCCACCATCTGTAGTTTCTTGGTTATTTGTTCTTCCTTCATCGTAATTGTGCAAAAAGCGAGTTTCCTTTATCCAGTTATCGTCGAGATAAGGACCCTCCAACCTGCAAGTGTAAATCAAATAGTAGAATAATTTTTTTTTTGTATATGTTGACATCACATCACTGATCTTCTCATATGCTTTTTGTTGTTGTTGTTGTTGTCTTGTGATCCCTTGAAGATTCTATGTTTGAAGCTGCTTTGAATAACTGAGAACAGTGACATGATGCCCTTTAAGTCATCAATCTATGTTTATATGTCTGGAATAGAGTGTTTAAGTCATCAATGGTGTTGTGCTTATGCAGGTTGATACCACGAGTTGTCTGTGTCGAGTGGACACCGGCTTCAAAACTGTTGCCGGAGCCAAAAAAGGTTTTCCTGGGGCGAGACCTTGCCTCCGACCTGATATCAAGAATTCCATTCACCCAACCGGAAGTAGACCATCTCGAGGTGAAAGAAGCAGCCGTAACCAATCTCCTCTCCTCCCGGGTCTTCCGGATGACCTTGCGGTCGCATGCCTCATCCGGGTCCCTCGTGCTGAGCACCGCAAGCTTCGCCTCGTCTGCAAAAGATGGTACCGTCTTTTGTGCGGAAATTTCTTTTACTCCCTCAGGAAAACCCTCGGGATGGCTGAAGAATGGATTTACGTTATCAAGAGAGACCGCGAAGGGAAAATCTCGTGGCACGCTTTCGATCCTTTGTACCAGCTTTGGCAACCTCTTCCGCCTATTCCTCGGGAATACTCCGACGCTCTAGGGTTTGGGTGTGCTGTACTTAGTGGATGCCATCTTTATCTATTCGGTGGTAAAGATCCGCTTAAAGGGTCCATGAGGCGAGTCATCTTTTATAACGCGAGGACGAACAAGTGGCACCGAGCACCCGATATGCTCCGGAGGCGCCATTGTTTCGGCTCGTGTGTCATAAACAATTGCTTGTATGTTGCTGGAGGAGAGAATGAAGGGGTGAATCGGTCATTAAGATCGGCCGAAATGTACGATCCGAACAAGAATAGATGGATGTTCATCGCTGATATGAGCAATGCAATGGCACCGTTCCTCGGGATTGTTTACAAACAGAGGTGGTATCTGAAAGGGATAGGTTCACACAGGCAGGTTCTGAGTGTAGCCTATGAACCTGCAACCGATTCTTGGAACCCCGTGTTTGATGATGCAATGGTGACCGGTTGGAAAAACCCGACGGCTGTCCTAAACGAGAATCTGTACTGCTTGGACTGCAAAGACGGTTGCAGGCTACGGGTTTACGACGAAATATCGGGTTCTTGGGGGAAACTCATAGACAGTAAGGTGCATCTCGGGAGCTCCCGGGCAATGGAGGCAGCGGCTCTTTTCCCGCTGAACGGCAAACTCTGTATAGTGCGGAACAACATGAGCGTATCGGCGGTAGATGTATCGAGATCGAGCGAGGAAAACGGGGAGAGTCTGTGGATAGCGATGGCGACGACGATGACGGGAAAAGGGCAGCTCAAGAACTTGGTGACGAATCTGTGGTCGAGTATTTCGGGCAGGAACAGAGTGAAGAGTTGGATCATACATTGTCAGGTTCTTCAAGCTTGAAAGAGGTTTCTTGTCTGGTTTTTTAGGGTTTCTCGGTGGCGGGAAGAAGAAGTAGCTGTTTATGGGAAGTAAAAGCCTTTTTTTTAACTTAACCTTCTTGTTCACATTTTGGTGTTTTTGGCAAAAGAAGGGCATAAACTTCCTATAAACAGCCAACTTCATTGAGAAAAATCACACTTTAGCATTTTCTTATATATATATATATATAGTTATATATATATATATAGTTATATATATATATATATATATATATAAACAAGTCTATATTGGTGTGTAATGTATTTATATTGTTTTTTTTTACATTGTAATCATCACCATATGTACCAAGCTTTCTGCGACTGCTTTGTTACTAATAGATTTTGGGTGAAAAATAGCGTTTGCAAAAGTAGCGTTTGCGGTTGCGTTTTCAATTAGTTTTCTCTTTTATATTACATCTATCATTTTATTTATTAGAGTTGGGTATTATTGATCAGTTAACCGTCATTTCGGATATCTGATTTCGAACTAGTTTTAAAATCCACCATTGTATATATATCATTTAAATATTTTATAGAATGCTTTATTTTCGGTACAACTTTATTTCAGTGAAAATTAAATTAAATAAGTAAATAAATAAATAATCTTGTTGCGTGCAAAAAAAAAACGCATAATGGGCTTCGTGTCTACATGATCCAAACATATCGGCCCAGCCCATTTTAAATTTTATATATAAATTGAGTAATCCCTTGTTTCTCGTTGGTAAAACCCTAGATTCTTTCCGTCTCTCTCTAAAACCCTAGTTTCCTCACTTTTCCTCGACTTCAGCCGGAAATGGTAATTTCTCTTCTCTTCTTTGCTTGGAATTATTTGGGATTTCTTTCGTTGGGTTCTGAAACCCCCTCTCGAATTTTTCCAAATGTTTGTTTTTGCAGACGTTGGAGGCAGTAAACCCTAAGGCGTATCCGCTTGCGGATGCTCAGTTGACGATCACGATCCTTGATCTTGTTCAACAAGCTACTAATTACAAGCAGCTCAAAAAGGGTGCTAATGAAGGTATTTCTGTTTTCGCCTAAGTTCTGGTCTCTGTGATGCAGTTTTTTTTTTCCTGGGCGAGATTGTTGTTCGCCGATTCGGTTTTGCTGATTTTGTTTTTTTTGGGGGTTTCAGCTACGAAGACATTGAACCGTGGGATCTCTGAGTTTGTGGTGATGGCTGCTGATACAGAGCCTCTCGAGATTCTTCTTCATCTTCCCTTGCTTGCTGAGGATAAGGTTTGATCCCCTTTCATTTGTCTGTATCACTTGATTGGTTTTTCATTCTTGTGATTTTGTTTACTGAACTATTGGTATCGATTTGGGCCATGCCCAAGATATTTGGTTCTTGTTACTGATTCAGCTTGGAGTATGAATTGTTTTGGTTACCCAACTCATTCGCTAATTATGATTAGTGGTTGAAATGAGTTATTTTGGTTTTTTGTTGTCTCTCTTTAGTTATATTATTCAGTGAAAGATTCAATTGATGGTTTGTATACACATATTTATGTAGCATTTCTTCGCCATGCCATGGTAGTAAATAATGCGTAGATATCGGTGATTCCATATTTGAGATCGTAAGTGTTCAAGAAATTCTTTGTCTTTGTGATGTATTAGTTAGTTCCTTCCTCAGATGAAAGAGACATTCTTGTGGGTTTTAACTTTTAAGGCAGCTCAGTAGCTAATGATTGTTGCACCTTTTTTCTGCATTTGGATTGAAGATGCTTTATATTGTGACATTCTTTTTTCAGAATTTCTCTGTATAGTTTCACTTGGTCGTCGACTTATATTGTACAGATTTGAGTCGAGGATCTGTTTTTGTCTCGTGTGGTTGTACATTTGTAATTTTTACATAGTTTTTTATTGAGCTCTTAAGATACTTTCTAAAGAATATAGCATCATGGATCATTCTTCGAATCTTTTATCCTAAACCATTTTATCCTGCCTTGTGAATTTGTTGCAGAACGTGCCGTATGTGTTTGTGCCCTCGAAACAAGCACTTGGAAGAGCATGCGGTGTAACAAGACCCGTCATTGCTTGTTCGGTTACATCAAACGAAGCTAGCCAATTGAAATCACAGATTCAACAGCTCAAGGTACAGTTTCTCGTGATTTCCACAAGTTTCTTGTTCACCATCTACCAAATGATTCCCCATGTTTCATCATTTCTGCTTGGGTTGAAAACTTTGCAGGATGCTATAGAGAAGCTTCTGATATAAGAGGTTGCTTTCTCGGTATGATGGGTCTCCGATTCAGGAAGGCTTTGACCTAAGTTTGTTGTTGGAAAACTGTGCAACAGTTCTGTTCCTCGAAAGAGAGATTGTAGTGACTATTTATTTTTTTTAATATATTTTTGTTGTTGTGTGAATGCACAATTGGGATGAATTCTCACTCCTTTTTATGCAATTTAAGTTTAGAGTTGTTGGTGAAAATATCATTTGCAGGTATGGCAACCAACATATGCATCTGATTTTTCAGGGTTCATTCCCTCTTTGTTCTATTTGTAGTGTTTCTTTACCGTTGGATTCTGTGTTGGGATTTAGAACCCTAAAAGGCGATTTATCCTCTGGGTCGATCCAAAGACAAATGTTCAGAACAGAAAGTATCTGAATCCGAATCCGTTTCTGTTGGGTTTTGAGATATGGACTTTGTCGTCGTCGTACTTTTGCCTTTACACGTAATGGCGGAGGGACGAAAGAGCGAGCTGAAGGAAGAGACGGACGAGATAATACCCGGGACAAGATTGAGAGATGTCGGAGACGAGACAAGATGTCAAAGACTCGGAACCATGGTGGCGAATCGAGGTGTCAGAGTACTGACGAAACCCTAACCCTAACCCTAGTGGAGACGACGGAGATGAGGCAGATCTTATTGAAGAATCGGATACTAAAAAAGTACAGGTCTCCTGATCCTGTACTTTTTTTTAGTATCCCATAGATTTGACGACAACATGAGGGTAATGGAATGTGGGTGATCACACTGTTCAGACAAAACTGCTACAAGTGACGTCTTTCTATTCTTTCTTTTCCTTGAAGGTTGTAGCCTTTTTACATATACGTTAGCGTCTAACCGTATTTTGAGGAACTTGACAAATTAAGACAAATACAAAGAAGAAGGAATCTACTTAGCGACTTGCTCCAGCAACGGTATCTTCTTCCATGTCTCCTCCAATCCGTTCAGTTGGAGCGGCGGCAACGAGAACGCGCTCACCGTCGAGCTCCCGCTCCTGATTTCCTTCAACACCCGCAATGCCGATATCGTGCTCTTCATGTATAGGCTCTCCATGAATTTGTACTCCGAGAGCTCTTTCGGGGTCGTCAAGGGGTTCTCAGGTTTAGACGCATCGGAGGCCGTGGCGTTTTCAGAGTCTTTTCCTCGGAGGGAAGGGTCCTCGGGGAAGAGGTGATCGAGCATTGCTTCGCATTCTTTTATGAGTTTGTATAGTAAGTCGGTCGTGAAAAAGGGTTGCTGAAGAACTTTCTGGATGAAGGGTAAACGCATTAGATCCCCTGTCCTTTTGTCGTACTTCTTCAGTATCTTCACCAATCCTGTTAGATTCCAACAAAAACAACCATAAATGGGTAAACAGGCTGAACAATCCAAAGGAAATCTCAGATTTTTGTCTCGAGAATATGTTCTGTGTAAAATCGCAGTATGAATGAATATGATCAGGAGCATAAGATGAATTCGCACCGATAGATGCCGAAAGCAATCCGAACTAAATGCCTTGAAAGTTCATGAAGAAACAGGGGAACTTGTGGTTAAACCACAGACTAATGCAACAAACAGACAAAAGCAAGAAGTTCATGAAGAAAATGTCCCAAACATATTCGTTTTTGGACAATTTCTTCATCTGAGAGAGTCAATTCCATGATCAAGATTGAGCTAAGTTCACACGAAGGGTCCTCAGGACATGTTTCTTGCACGAACAAGAGATGTATAGGACAACTCATTCAAAACTGGGATATTCTAAAATATAACATAATAAAACCCTAACAAAGACTCAAACTTTGAATGTTTCTATCGAATTCAGGAATCCACATATGCTTGATCAATCAACTGTTTCTCGTAGAATAGGTAAATGGGTAGTCAATATTTCCACGGAATTGTTTCAGCGTCACCACAATGATGAACAGTCACATCATTGTTCCTAGGTCTCACTAATGGCAGAGAAGACTGAAGTAAGATTCTAGGGTTCTTTCTGTAACGAAAATTTAGAAATTCAGACGCAAAATTTGAGAAAATATGTTTTGTAAAGGATCTGAAGCAAGCACCTGTGTAATTTAGAGAACTGTAATTCTCTAACAAAACCATCTCTCCGTGGAAATCAACAATTTCTTTCCTTATTTTGATCATCTCCTCGTTTGAATCCTTTGCCTTCGCAATTCTGTCTCGCAATTCCTGCATCCCAAAACCGCACATCGAATGAAGAAAATCACAATCAATCTTTTCGGGGGAAACAAAATCAGACCAGAAAATAATCAAGGAGCGAATTCGAGGAATACCTTCAATCCGATTATGTACTCTTCCTCCTTCTCGACGAAGAAATTGTTGAATTTCTCCAACTCATCCTCCAGCAATTGGATGAAATTGATCTCCTCCGCCGACATGACGCCGGACAATTCGCCGCAGGAGACGACGGATGAATCAAATCGGAGACGTTTGACGGGACGGCCTCCTCCGGTCTTGGGCTCGATAAGCTTGAGTCGCTTCTTCAGCTCCTTGTAGGAGAGAAACTTGTCCCGCCATTCAGGGAGAGTCTGCTCGATCTGGTTGCTAAGGCTCTTGCCAAACTTCATTGCTTTCTCTTCTCTTCTCTTATCTCTTTTTCCTCTCGGGATACTGTTTGGTTGCCGGGAAAGTTCAGTGAGAAAATGGAGGAAAACGAGGGAAAGTGGAAATGAATGAAGAAAGCCGTGAGACGCGTGGGTGATATAATCAGTTAACCAAAGAATATTCTGAGCGTCGTTTTTGGAATATCCATTTTTTGTATTTTTCAATTTCATGGGAATATCTTTTCGTTTTATTCCCATTTTCATTTTTTATTCTTTTATTTTGCTTTTTTTCGGTGGATAAGAGTATTACACGTGGAATTCCTGTCGACTCGATTGAAGTTGCTGATAAGCTTATGAGCTGATTACTACTACAGCAGGGTATGACGTCACTAAATTAAAATACCTAACGGTCGGTCCAAAAATAAATCAAGTAAAATAAAGCGTGTAACGATTCATACATTTGAGAATAAATATTTCCAGCTGGATTTATTAGAATAGCACGTGGTATAATAATTGTTCATATTTTCTTCTTTTATCCTTTAATAATACTGTACATATATACTTATATATGTCATGGAACAAAAAAAAAACATATGCCATAAAATTTAGAAAAATATGAACAACCAATAAGCCGAAAACTTCGGAACTCCTAATGGATATAAAATGAGTAAAGATATTATTATTTTTATATATAATGGAACAAAAACGAATGAATATTACATAATGATAACTAAAATAAATCAAATTTAAAATTTATTTAGAACAAATTCTTTAAAATTAAATTAATATGTTTTGAATTCAAATTTAATTTAAAACAATTCAAATTAAAAAGTTTTAAAAATTCTTTATTTAATTAAAAATAAATTTAAATGGAATTTTTTAAAAAACTGAAATATAAAATTTTAGTATAAACTAAAAAAATAATTTAAAAATAACTAAATTAAAATCTAAATTTTTTATAAAAAAATCAACAAAAAATAAAACGACTATTACGATTCTAAATGTTTACGAATAAAAAGCTAATGAATAAATTAGGTATTTTTATTATTTGTTATAAATAATTCTATATTTTTGTATTCATAGACTTTTTAACCATATTTGTGCTTGGTAGCAATATACGTGCGTATATATACATATATATTAAATAAAAGGCTTATGTCATCACAATTTATTATACTGTTTGAAAAATAGTAATAATTTTACTAATCTTAGTCAAGATAATAATATCTATGATAATTGTGAAAATTGGTATATGCTTTGGAATATGAACCAATGGATTAAATATGTGGGGAAATGTGATGATCACTATTGAATGAATGGAGACGCGTAATGGTTGAATGCTCGTGAAATCGTAAGGTTTATGCTTCTCTCTTCAAAAGCATATTCTATGGACCAATATATTCTAATTTATTTATTCATTTATTTCATTTTTCAAACCTCCAATACACTGCCTTATAAACAAAATTATCATTATAAATAAAAAATTAATTATAATTAATATATTTTTTAGCCTTAGTTACGAAAAAAATTGCAAAATTACATATTACATGCTCTGAATTATTATTATTATTATTATTATTATTTATATATAATTATATATTGCATGTCATAGATTCTATAATAATTTTTTAATAAAATTTACAAGATTAAAATATATTTTTATTTTATGCTTTATGAAAATGAATTATTTTATTAAAAATAATTATAAGTTTTAGATAATTATCTTGTATATTGATTCTTGTATTAGGTTTGAATTTCTACTTTAGAATTCTGAAATTGATTTCTGATTGAAAATGAATCAAAATCATTTTTTAAATACGTGTGTATAAGTATAATTAATAAAATGTCAGAATAAGAGATTAAAAATGATTAGTTTGTTAAATGTGCATTATATCATTATCACACCTTGAAAATATTTAATAAAGAAAAAGGCTGGAGCCGAGCCGAGTCGAGTCGAGTCGAGTCGAGTCGAGCCGGACTAGGGAATCTTCCCATCGCGTTTCAGGAATATTCTTTCCGCTTTTGTCATCGTACGGAATCATTTTCTTTATTCACATTCTGTTTAAAAGTTTTGGAAACGTCAAATTCTAGGATTTTTTTTCTTTAAAATATATGATCTTTATTCGGAAAAAAAAATTATAGGAAATCTACGAGAAGACAAGCCCCTTTCCTTATTATATATTATAAAAAAAACTGAACAAATCGAAATTTTATATTATTCGTAGATGTATTATATATATTAGATATAATTATATAAATTAGTTTACAATCCAGCGTATATATACAATTTTTCTTAATCTGGAAAGAGGATAGAATGATAGTTTAGTTGAATATAAAGTATTGCTACTAATAATTTTTTTAGCTTTCCAAAAAAAAGATTATATATTTAAATAGATTATGGCAATGGTATTCTATAGAAAACGATACAAAAATTTATTATAATGTTTGTTTTTGGATAATGGAGGACCCCTATCTGCTATCCTCTCGGAAGGTGGAGTTATCTCATACCTCAAACTTGATCATTCACCCACGATCTGTTGGTAAAAAATTTATTATAATGTTATTAAAAGGCAAATGTATGTACAACCTGACAACCAGTTTGGAGTCGAGACCGAAGTTAGTCCATGATTCAAATATTACTTGTATAATTTTAAAGGTAAAAAATCCACCAAAATCTTAGCCCATGAGTAATGACCATGAGACTTGAGACATGCGTCGGATTAATTGACAATTGAATTACAGTTAATAACAGACAGTCTATGTTCATATAAAAATAACATATATACATATATATATATAAATATATATTTAAATTTTATCTTTAATATTTATCTATATTTATTTTTGTTTTCTACAAACTTGCATAATTTGATTTGGTAATTTTTTCTGCATTCGATCTATTTATAAATAATTTAACGTTAGATTTTTTGATAATTCATAATAATCATATCCATTCACTTCTTATGGAATTCAATTTGAGTACTATTACGTATTTTGTATAATCAAACCAAAATAATCAACTTTAAACCTTATGGACCAATCTCGTAACCCCGAAAGAGAAGACCTAAACCTTGATCGAGAGGTAAGTGAACACGCAAAATGTGGTCTTGCCCATGTTTGATTCCAGACATAGATATAGAAGGCGTCGTTTGGCGATAATTTACCCGGTCTTTCTTTCAGGTTTTCGAGAGATATAGTTAAGCTGAAAGACCGGTGATCTCCCGGATTATTAAAAAAAAATCCAAAAGAAAGAAAAAAAATCCAAATTCAATTGATACCCGCGAGTCGAAAAGACAGAATTCAAACTCAAAAAAACTATCGTCGAGTCCCAGGGATCAAATCAATCTAAGCGAAAATCGCAAGATTTTATGATCATAAGATATGGGAACACAACAAGGCAAGCCATGAACAACGTGAACTGCAATGACAAGAGACAAAAAGACAACAATGTACATTTTTTTTAAAAAAATCAGATCAGGATAACTAAGAAACCATTATATAGTAACAGAATATTAATGTAGAGGATTAAAAGTTCATACCAGAAGAGGAATTGACAAGAAGCCCCAAATAGGCCACAGAGCAAATGAGAGCCTGCCAAAGACATTGTATTTTTTTATCAAGCAACAATATGAATCTGCTTCCCGCCGTGTAATCTACGAAGAAGAAAGAGATGGGCTTTTTTGTTTATCTTCTTACAGGCAAAAAGAGACGAGGCCAAGGAGGGTAATGAATGGCAAAGAAGAGATATTCCACAGTTCCCATTTCCCTTCGAACCTTCTGATGCTCCAAGATAACATCTTTTCGTAGATCAATATTATGATGTTCACTCCTATCCCTAACATCCCGAGATACAGAGGCGTCCTGCCAAGAAAGATAGCCGGAAAGAACGATGACATAGCGTATATGTCTTCTGTTTAAATGCATTTCCATTTTCCAGAAAGATCAAATAATATGCGTACGCAGATATATGCTCCGAATTTATAATTGGAATAAGATCAATGTTTTGGGTAAGACAACCTATTGCCATATCACTAGAATCCTGCTTAATCTAGAGGAGAGGAAAAAAAAAAAGCATAACTCCATTTGTTACTCTTCTCATAGGATCTTTTCGAAATAATTTTTGCTACATCATATGAAAATCACCATGACCCTTTGTTCCAATCAAACAACTTTTCAAAATTGCAGAAGAAATTCTTCTTACAAAACACCATTCCCTTATGCAAGTTTTCTGAACAGAGCTATGAACTATGAAGAAAGAATCTACATGCTCCAAACAATTTAACACCAGAGGCCTTCAATAGCCATCACATTAGTGCAGATGCCGTAGTTTGTATATCTACCTATAATCATAAAGGAAAAGAAACTGAATATTTATTGAGCTAAACTGAAAATCCTAGTCAAGAATTTAAAAAAAAAAGACAAAAAAAGCTTCAACTCTCAAACTCCATACACAAACTTGGAAGAAGATGATTATTTCCTTAACATTATAAGGATTTTTTTCCAGTACATCTGTTTTCTTGTTCCTATAAGTTTCATTTCCTTGCATTAATCCTTAGGACATTTACTTCAAATGGATAGCAGATTCTAACCTCAATGTCATCTATCCAGAAATCTCAATGCTGAAGTAAAAGGCAAAGAAGCATATATTCAAACACCAAAATAAAAGCAGAAAGCCGAAAAATTCTTAAGAACCATTCAAGAAATATATTACCTTCGGATCCGAACATCATGCAGGAGTATGTGTAGCATGTTGGAGTGCCGGTCACCAAAATAAACGATGAACACCGCAGAAGCAATCCAAAGCCCATTCTCTAGAAACTCGACCCACGTTTTACTTCGAGGGCTCACCGGCAAAAGAGGCTGCAGCCTCGAGCCAGCATCGTCCTCGAGATCGTCCCCTCCAGATGCATAACCTTGGCTATGCCTCTGCCTCATGTATCCACCCTTGGGGGTGCCGCCAGACATTTTCCGCAGAAAGGACGACAAACAATCAATTCTGACTAGAAATTCTTCCGCCCTTGCCGACAGAATTATCTTTAGAATGAGCAAAATCGTCCACAATCCGAGAACTCTATACAAAGTTCGAATCCACAAAGCGAAAACCGATGCCGAATTCTGCAGTCCTTCTCGTTACAACGATCCTAAGTCTATGCAGGCGATGAACAAGACTGCAAAAGAAATCGCTGAAGACAAAAAAAAATTCAATGCCACTGAATTCTCATACCACCATTCACAACCACTGGTCTACGCACAAGTAAAAAAAAAAAATCAACTCTCCTTTCAATTCCCAAAATCAAACCTACCAGAATCGAGAAATTGAGAATTTCAAGGGATCAAGAACCGAAATTCAGATGATAAGAGAACCAGTCCGAAAGCTTAAAAAAAATCGATCACGGCAATTAATCAGAAGCCTGAATTAAAGAGATCGATGCGTAGACCTTGTCGAAACCCTAGAGATCACGATTGAATCCATCGGAGAATCCACCAAGCGAATCATTCAGCTTCCTTAAACTGCAGGTGACGAAAGTAGGAGAGTAATTCAAGAGAGATTTCTTTCTTAAATAGCTTTAACGAATCTGCCAGGTGACTCAACCGTTGGGGAATTGTGAGGTTTGTTGCACGACGTCGTTTTCCCAACCGTTTCATTTTAGCGTTTTTCCTTTTCAAAATTTCCACTAATATCTTCACGTTTTTATTATTTTCCTTTTTCTATAAATAAGCTATTTGGGTCTTTTATAGGTGGTGGAGGGAGATTTTATAATGTGATTAGATTGACTTGCGTCTCTTTACAGATTTGTATGCTTTTCCATTTCCTAAAAAAATGTTTATTATAATTTATTTATTCATTATTACTAACAAATAATTTCATAGAGAAAACATAGATTTCTCAAAATGGACTTTTTTCTTCAATCACTTTTTATGATTCTGACATAGTGGTTAATTTAATCCGTACAAAGTTATAGAAGGTAATATAAATTTTTTTTTTAAAAAAAATAATGTTTGTAATGTTTAAAAAAAATAGAGCTTAATCTCAGATTCAGAAGAATATGATGGAAACGCCCATCATGAAGCAACCCACTGAGACCCACGGGCTCAGACGTTCACCTGACACAAAACCAAAGGTTATATAGTCTTACGACATCAAGAAAACATGTATGCGTCGAGCAAAATCTATTACATACGAAAAGCCTACCGGCTTGTTAACGAACTTTCACAAGAGTGGTATTGGAGTTTTTCGGTTTGTCCGATATCGGTCTCACCTGTCAGGTGCCTTGGTAGGACTATCCGAACTCGGTTCCATAATGGTCAGGGGGCAGGCAAGGACAAATGCGAGGGACTGGCTCAGGGGGCGGGCAATACAAGGGGGCAAGCAGCGAGTGTGGCCATTTCGGGTTCGGCTCAGTTATATTCGGATTCAGTTGTTTCGGATATATAAAAAGCATTAGGCTCTTGTGTCAGATTCGGTTCGATTACTGTTATATTTTATTCGGTTTGAATCGGTTCGACTGTTCGGCTAATAACCAAAATGGCCACCCCTAAGAGCAAAGGCAAAGGAGGTCGAGGAAAGAGTCGGATCTTGTCTGGTCTGAGGAACAAGTGGCGAGGCGTCGGGAGACGAGATACCGACGAATCAAGATCCCTAATTGCCGATCACCATCATCCCTACTACCCTGATTTAAAAAAGGAGAAACCCTAATCACCTTAAGTCTCGCCCTCAGCCCCCTCACGAAACCCTAAGCCTCAACCACCGCCTCCTCCTTGTATCTTAGGGGTTTTAGCCCTAAACTGCTACAGCTTTTACTTCTAGGGTTTTCGGTGGTCGTAAAGGACTATAAACATCCTAGAAGATAAAGAATTGCGTGTAATTTAGTAACGGGAGCAAGACAAGACGTACCTATTCTAGCAGCCTTCCAAAAGAATCCCCGAAACCTGCAATAACGCATAACATGTTCAGATTCTTTTACCATTGTGAATACATAGAAACAGAAGCAACAAAAAGGTACATATAAAGCATGGGACTTGACATAAAAACAAGGATGGAAAATCATTCCAGTATAATGTCAATCAATTTGTAATGAAATCTGAGGAAGTAATTGCTTGGACTTAGCAAAACAGTTTGAATCCATGACAGGCTTTCCGAAGTTCATAAACGAATATTTGGACACGAAACGGGCTAAAACCGGATCTGAAACTGAGAATAATGACGGCACAAACCCAGTTTTCTGCTCCAAAATTGCGGGGAACTGCATCTTCAGATAGGTGCATGTGCAGATCACAAGCAGAACCACCGTCAAGAACGAGTGGAAATTGAACAAAGCCGACTGTGATAGAGCCAAAAGAAAGAAGCACAGAACTCAGCTCTGAATCACTATAAAATTTCTCAATGAACTTGAAAAACTACACAAAGCGTAATTACCATTGGATCGGATTACTGAATCACTTCCCGATCAGAAGAGAGAAGCTAATTTGGTCTATGTATCTGAAATCATCCGACAGCAAACGCAGTAGATGATCAGAATCGATCCGAGGCAGGAGCACTAGAACAATTAACTACATAAAATCGATAAATTCATTTCGGAAATGACACTTCTAATGAACACAAACTGCCCAGTTTCTCCAGAATCGGAGAAGAATTCAAACGAACAGCAACACGAAAAAAACAGCGAAGAAGCTTCCATGGCGAAAAATCCCAAAATCATACAAAACCTGTCTCCCGGTATTCTGCTCTAACCCAAGGTTTTGCTGCGAAATCTAATCAAAAGAAGAAATTCCGATCACCTAGTGACAAATTCCACGATTCCCTAAACTCAACGGACGAACAATCGTGTGACCAAATCGATGCGAAGAGATCAAATCGGTAGAGAGCAACCAAAGATCCGATTACTGCCAGAGAAACAGCACGCGAAGATTGGACGAGAAAAAACACTGACCTGAAGCTCAGTTGAAAAGGCAATGGCATTCAAGCTTCAATCTCCCAAAAACTCGGATCTGTGCAAGTGGAACCGATGAGGGGAAACCCTAAGCGCGCATCTGCTAGACGAGGGCCGATTGAATTCCGAAATCCAACCGCTCAGATTGATTTACATCCGACGGTCCAGATTAATTATATTTACTTTTTCTTTTTATAATTTACATTTTATTAGTTATTTCCATTTGTTTCGTATGTTCGTTTTTTCCTACTTGGCTTATAATCATAAACAAAAGAAAAGCTTAATGTGAAGGAAATTTACATTTTTTTTATTAACGGTAATCATCTATTTCCAATAGTATGACCGACCACATATTTTTTTAAAGAAAATTATACATTAATACGCGAATTTATGAAAAAAAATCACATATAAATATATAAACTTAAACTTTGTATATTTATTTATTTTTTTACAAGTATTAATAGGGTATTATAAAAAATACCCTGTTACGATATAGTGTGATCACATTTTGATCTCATTATTCATAACGTTAAATTTACGATGTTTTAACCAAATGATTAGTAAGATATATAAAGTAAAAACATAATAAATTAGTGCGATCATCATAAATTTAACGTTATAATCAATAAAATCAAAATATGACCATACTATATTTTGGATCATACATGAGTCACAGTTGGAAAAAAATATGTGTTATATAATGTGGTATTAATAAGCTATTTCTACTTTTTTTTAATGGTAACGATAACAACAACCGTTAAACTAATTTCCCTACCGACAAGGAAGAAATCAACGATGTTTATCCTCATCTTAGGGATTTGATCCGAGTTCCATTTTCCTTGTTTTTTTTTAATATCTAAGCAATTGGAGATTAAAATCGTACCAAATACATTAAAAATATATATAGTTTATTCTTATTATCTAGAATACTTCGAGATTAGAAAACTAATCATGGACCATTTTCATGACATATCCAATCTTTAAACCTTATTTTCTCATAAATTTGAAATTACGAAAAACATTATAATGTCGGATTATTTTCTTGATTATCTTATATTAATCAGGGATTATGACCAAAATCAAGTAATAAATTTCATGACAAACTAAATGTATAATTTCACGTTCCAAAATGCATGTTTGCAAAAAAACCACTCTGGTTAATATAAAATAAATTATAATAAATATCTGCAGAATTATACATATTCGAATTTACGTTTTTACCCTTTATTTTTCGTCGTCGTTCGTCTCTTTGTTCACTGGACCTTTTTCATTTCTTTGATCTTCTTCTTTTTCTTCTCTTTCGACTCGACGAGAAAATAAACCAGAATCCGCAGCCGGTGACCTTCGGAGAGGGTGGGTCCATCTCCGGCGGTATCTCCGCCGTCCGGTAAGATTTCACGACTGCGGATTGGCTGCGCTGCAACGTCTCCGCCGCAGTCGCCGTCGTCGAACCTCTACGATCATCGCCATATCTGTCGTCGTCGTTGTTGCGAGTCTCTCCGGCGGCTAAGATCCTGTCGTCCCAAATCAATCCCGATGAGCCCTGCCTCCGAAACGACGTCGTTGATCTCTGCAACGCCGCCATTATATATTGTCGTCTCTCCTCTCTCTCTCTCTGTGTTTTTTGTTTTGGTGTTATGGAAAGGGGAAAAAGGAAAAGAAGAAAAGATTTATTATAAAATTAAGAAGAGAATCCAAAAAAAAAAAACTGTTTTTGGATTTGGAGATTTTTAAACGAACTTTGACTTTTTTTGATTTGGTGGAGATTGAGACATATTAACAGAAGACAGATTTTTAAGCCTTTATTTTTTTAATATTCAGGTATTAAATAATCATAAAAAAATATGTTAACAATTCCAACTAATACAAAGTTATTGTATAGATACAATGATAATAATGTTCACAAATTTAGGATGATGAGTTGTTTCCTTCTCAGTTAATCCCCAATTATGCCAAATATTTGTAACTGTCGTTACCCCGACGAAAAAATTACTTTAATTCTGGTTTTTGTTTTTTTTAAATTATATTAATTCCGGTTTTCGTTCTTTTAGTATTTAATTTGACTTTGATTTTTTATTTTAGTTTAAAAAATATTTTTATTTCTTTTAATTTTTTGTATTACTTTTATATTAATCCAAATCCATCTCAATCCAACATCATTCCGAGTGCTCATTTCGTTGTCATTGCTCTATCCAATCTATTAGGAAGTGTGCGATATCCAATCTATGGTGTTTTATATTTTTGGCTTTTAGTTTTTTGTAATACTTATAATAAAAAAAAAATGAAAGTTTTTGAATTTTAGTTAATTATTTCACTAAAATAGTTTTCCAAATTTTTAAAAACCCAAAGTCACCAAATCTTAATTGTCGATTTTTTTTAGGATGGTGAAAACTCCCAAAACTTTTCCCATTCAACCCACGAGTATTATTGTTGTTGTGATTATAGGGTGATATATTTGTAGGGTTGTTTTTTTTTTAAAAAATATTTAATCAAACATTGAACGTATTAGAAACTCTACGAAATTAGCAAAGGCCTCGAGCTTTTTCTCCCACGAATCAAACAGAAAATAGAGTAAAAAAAGACTTGAAGTGGTTTATTTCTTACCATGGAATCCAATTTGTTTGAAGGAATGGCACTCTCCTCGTACCTTCTGTCTTGTTCGTTTGGGGGGCAACTTTAGTCCTTTGTCACACCAAACTCTGAGGAGCAGAAACTATTGAAATGAAGTTTCTCCAAAGGCTTCATCAGAACTTGAATACCATTTGCTCTGTGTACCCGAGCTCCTTTAGTATACCCTTTACCTACAGATAAGAAGGAAAAAAAACGATGATGACACCCATTGAATCGGTTAAGAGTAATATAGCTCGAAACCGAGCTTGTTTTGTTTCGGTTTTTATTGCCACTGATATGTGGGCATTTGTACTAGGGGTAGCCAATTCCGTTAACAACCGAATAATCGAACCGAATAATGCATAACTACAACTGCACTGAATCCTATATATATAAAACCGAATGGTTATGATTTCTAAGGCTCGTTTGTAAACGTGCCTAACAAGCTTGACACTCCTAATTTTCAGTCCTAATTTAAGCTTAATCAAACACTACACAAAGTTTACACATGCAAAATCGATACAAAAGACTATAGAAACGATATTTTGGTAGATTGGTATGCACCTCTCCTTGTGACCAGTCTGGAGCTTTACCTCCAGATATATGCTCCATCATCCCGGGCGGACCGCATATCTGAAATTACCCGAAAAAGAAAAAAAGAATAGACGATGCACTGAGAAACAAAGTAACTTTTATTTTACCTATGATTCGATTTGATTGTTGTATAGCAGCTGCTAATCAAATGTCTAAACAAAAAGAGACAGACACAGGGTTTGAGTTCTTGATTATGAATCTCGATTGAGAAAATCATCTGACCAAGTCCACCATTACCATGGTAATCTAAGTAATCTTTAAATGTTATTTTACACACCACATAATCAGAAACCCGGTTTTAAATCCCTGGTTAAAAAATACAAATACACCAACCGAAACACGATAGCTTCCTACTCCGATTAGCACAATTTTACGGAGAAAGATTCTTGAAGGAATGATAATGGAAGATCCAAAAAGACCAAGGAATGAATTTCAGATTACCAGATATGGTTAAGATTCTGAGGAAAGGGAAGAGTTTTGACTTACAAGAACAAAAGTATCGTCGGCAGGAGGAGGTAAACCTTTCAGAGCCATATCTTTTGAAATGTAACCTACACCTCCTTTCCAGTTTTTAGTCGGGTTATCGACGGTATAATATACCTGTGGATGTTTTCAGCAACACAGAACAGAAGTAAACATCGGTGTATTGAATATACAACAATCGACTGATTATCGCTAAAATGATTATACCTTCAAATTCGGGTGCTTAGCCTGGAGAGCATCAAGCTTCTGCTTGAGAAGTATGTCATCTGGAGAAACATTGCCATAAAGCAATGATATCTGTGCAAACCATAGACCAAGAAGTTGTTTTAGCTTCACAGAAAAACATCTTCAAGTACTTTCTGGTGGTTTTGAATTTCGTTTATATGAAGTTTTAATATGCACATGAAAGAGAATGGCATTTTGGCTTCTAGGTGAAGAAATGTGCAACCACACCAAACTTCTGTGTCGGATATAGCAATGAACGTTTTTGAAGAGAAGATATATAAAAATAGGATAACCTGTGTCTTGTCCTCGGGATTCTTCAGAATGGCCTCAATCACCTGAAGCATTGGAGTAATCCCAGTTCCACCAGCAATCTACCATTTTTTTTAAAGTGAAGGCCAACACAAAATCAAGTATCAGAAATGATTTGTATTGTACTCAAATTAAATTGTAAAACATAACACAGGCTACTGTCTAAACGGGAATATAGAGATTTAGACAGCCAAAAAGGGGAAAACAGAACACTTGAGATCTATAGATGATGCAAAATAAGGCATGGCCATCTTGAAACCAAGAGAAACCTTAATATATAGACGTAATTTAAAGTTTTAAATCCTATGGATTGTTGTTTATCAAACTTAGGCTTCAATATGAAAAGAAGAAAACGTATCAAGGCATATGTCTTCTATCCACTGGTTTAGAAGATGGTAGTGAGCTTTTACCATGCCAATATGTCTCTTCATATTAGGCGAGTACTTGAACTTTTCAATGGGTCTACATGAAACAAAAGGAAGACTAGTTAAACAGCATACATAGTACATGAATCATTATTATCTGTCGTTGAAGAAATCGAGATAAGAAAATCGTGAAATACATAAATTATCTACCCTTTAACTTCAACTGCATCCCCTGGTTTTAAGCTGGCAAAATGTTGACTCATTTTCCCTTCTGGATATACCTGTAAAGGGAATGGAATGCATGAAAACAAATTCAAAGCAAATGATGGAAAATGTGCATATCTTTGCCAGATGATACGAGCAAACCAGAGAGAAAGACACATGGATCCAAACACAATAGCTCATACCTTGATCAGTAAATCAAAATATCCCTTAGCTTCTGGGTCAGATATAGGAGTGTAACTGTGAATAAAAAGTATTGGAAAATAAGAACGCTAAAAGCCTTGCAGAGACAACCTAACTAGAAATCAGTAGCGAGATTATAGGTTTTAATAAATGTTAGCAGTGAGGACACTAAAAACCGTTAATAAGTGAATAACATAACCCAAAAGCGGCATCAAACTATCGAAGAAAATTATATGGGAAAGAACAAAGGGACTCTGCTATCAACAATTTTCGTCAAATTGAGGAGAGTTCTAGTGCTCGAAAGCAGTTTTAAAACGAATTAGAAACTTTAGAAATAAACTGGGACATGGAATACTTTAATGTCAAAGTGATACAGACTTGCAAAAGCAACAAAGTATTCAACACAGATGATAATTTAAGCTTTTAGTCACAATGGATTACATGAAGAGTAACCCTTCTGGAATCAACTAAAGATACAGAGTTATCCCAAAAAACACCAGGTGAGATTTGGTAATCCAAAAAAAAGGGAAATCATGAAGCCAGAAGAATGATAAGATGAAGCGCAAAAGCATGTACAGAGATATATATTAACAATTTTCGCCATTTAAGATGTGAATTCCTATAGATCCCCAAATCCAAATTCTAGATACATACTCGAGGAAAATCAAGAAGGTTGCCCCTTTGACCTTATCTAGAAGATTGGCACAAAATTTCTACTCAAACTCTACGTGATATTTTAGTTTGCTAACTAATATCGGAGCTGCATAGCAATCGACATGCTCCAAGGTTCACTTAAAGTAAGTCAAGGCAAATGATTCACGCACGCTCATGCATGAAACATAACTCAAAGCTAGTAAGAACTTTTCAGCTGACTTACGGTCTTATGACAAATTTTGTTTTCCCTTCAGAATCATAGCCTATTGGAGCCCTGCATAAAGAAATAGGCATTAGATCAGACTTTACCACCTTGGTGGAGTAAATTACCCAGGTTCACCAAATTACATTGAGAGTAGAGTGGAATCGTGAAGACCACAACCTACCTTGTTAGGATACAAGAAGCAACCTCTAGGCCCAACTTGGCCGATGGATCAAATGAGAACCTATCATTTGGAGAAAATTGAAGGGTAATCACAATGATAAAACAATGTTGCTTGCTCAAATTACTATAACCTTAAGATGCAGTTCTGACATTTATATCAACGACCCCAACCATGTATGAAGCAAACTCAACTACACTGACATTAAAGACAAAATAAGAGTAAACTACACCGACAACATTTTGTTAAACAATGCTTAATCAAGCGAATACCTGAACAATTGGGTGTTGTGGCTAACTCTAGCAGTGTCTTGAAGCTTAAATTCGAGCCATGTATCAGGCTTTAGAGCTGAAAGCATACAGTACAATACAATTCGTTACGACGACAAAGAAATTAGGAACATCCACCACAATCTATCCCAACCATCCTCTTTCCCACACCCAACCAAGACAAAAATGGAAAAAGAAACCATCCGAAACCTCAAGACCAGAGAAACGGCAAAACCATCAAGAATATGATCAGAGCAAAGTTTTTAGACAGAAAGAAACTAAACAGCTTACCAGTTTTTGGTCCTGACTCTTCCTTAGCATGATCCAGATAAACCTGGAACCACAAAACACATGAATACTAAGACTTCCCAGTAAGCAGTACTACGAGATTCAATGAGTACGTCACATTAACTAACAACAGGCCACGACAGATACAGACACACGCTGACCACTCACCATATATATATACACACACGAGCATATACACATGTCTATGTGGGTGTGTGAATCCAAAAAACATCTAAACTCGCCTGACCAAGGGGCCACCATCGAAAAAGGTATCCATTGGGCGAAAATGCCCAGATGAAAGCGATCGAAACCAGCTTGGGGAGAACTGAACTAATTTCGAAAGGCTCAACGATGAGAGCGAACGAGACATTGAAGAAGAATCTCACCAGATTGCTGTCGGAGGAGACGTAATAGTACGACAACCCGCCGGAGAGAGCAGCGATCGCGCCGACGGGGAACCGGAACGCGCTAAAACCGGACTCGCTTTGAGATCGAGAGGCACCCGAGAATGCGATCGGTGCGGACTTGGCGAGCCGCCGGAAAAAAGTTGTCGCCATGGTCTGAATCTGTCGTCGAAGAAGAAAAGGAGAGAAACGACAGTAGAGAGGAGGGAATAGTTTGAAGAAGAGGGGGGTTTTGGAATCGGGGACGGGAGAAGCGTGAGTAAGGATATGGTGCGGAAGTGTGTACGGGAACTATTGTGGAATTCAACGGTAAATAAATTCTCCAGGTTTGGTTTGCTTCGGTGTAATCCATATTCAACACGGTTTAGTCCGGTTTAGAATTGGTTCAGATTGAATAGGCACTTTTATCAAGGGTGGAGCCCGAATTTTCCTCGTCCTCGTAGCGGTCGGATACTCGTGGATGAGACGAGGATTTCGGACGAGGCTTGGATGGGTGGGCAGAGATTTGATTTGAGAGAAGAGAGAACCCGATGAAATTGACCTCGACATCACTCGAAAGATCGAGGCCGAGACAAAATCCTCACCCCTTTCGCTATTCTCACATCAACTCACCTTTGCACCTTCTCGCCCTGACGGCCACCTCGCCCTTGCTGTCCATGGATTCAGATTTTCGCCGTCAGATTCTCAAATCCGGATATCCGCAATACCCGCAAATCCGTCGGGTTCAGATAACTAGTTCAAACACAAACACTTCGCGGGTAAAACTGTATGCAATGCATGACGCTATACAAAATCTAAGGCCTTTTATTGGTCAATGGTCACGAATCAAATACAAATACCCTTCGTTTCCATACCAACAGAAGAAGAAAAAAATCATTTCTTGTAACTTGATTCAACCTCTCATAACAAATCCATGGCTTAGGGTCGGACTGTAGAGAAAAAAAAAAGGCTACAAACTCGAGAGAGATGGTTGTTTCGATTGAGCCTCGAGGCCGACAGAAGAGCCCTTATCAATCCACGTCGAGATCAGGTGGTGGGCGATGGCGAATGGTCCCGGGATAAACATCGGGGCGAGCTCTCCGCTCTCTACGTTGAAATCCGTCGATAGATTCTGACCTCTCTCGACCCCTTTGCATATCTGCTCTATTTTCTCCGCCGCTGTTCTCTGAGCCTTCCTGTATTCCGCGAACGCCAAGGCTTTCCTCACATCTTCTCTGCTATGCCACTCGGCATCTGAGAGATCGAATGAGACGTGTTTTTTTTTTCGATGTTAGCGGGGGTTTTTTAACGAATCGGGGAGTACATAAAGTTTAGAACTTTACCTTCTAACTCGTCCTTGTCGACGTTTATATCGGTGGTCTTGGCGAAAGCGAAAAATCCAAGCATCAATTGGCACGGCATGCTACTTGGACCGACTGCAAGGGTTGAACCATTCATGTAAACTTGCTAAAAAAAATTAACTAAACATGTATTCCATTTGATTGAACCATTTCTGAATTAAGCAATGCGAACATGCGAGGACGTATGTTTAAATCAAAGAGATTCCCAGAATTTATAGAACAGGCCACACGGGTCCAGTATCCGAAAAATTCAGGGTACCGGGGTCCGGGAGCAATACCAAAGGCCTAGTATCATAATTTGATACCCATACTCAACTCAAAGATCTCGGATACCCAAACGATAGGTATCCAACAAAATGTTCGAGTACTCGTGGGTACCCAAAAATTATATTGAAAAAACAGAATTAATCCAAAAAATGCAGAAAACTTGAAAAAAGATACCCAAATAATTCAGATATCTGAACTCATACCCGAATACCAAAAGGCAAATATTAAAAATTGACAAGGTATATATGTATTTGTTAATATACACGGGTACCACGGAAACCCGTCACCAGTTTGTAATTATTGTACCCGTACCCAGGTAATAAAAAAAATAATAACTATGATGTTGCAGCCAAACCAACTTAAGACAACCAGAAAATGTACATGCTTAAGACCAGTAGATATAGTTTTTTCTTTACCATGTAAAGTAACTTACCGGGCCAAGGCTGAGAGCTGTGGTAAACAACTTCCCCTACTTCAATGCCGGTCTCTTCCCACGTTTCTCGCCTCACAGCCTCTTCTAAGCTTTCCCCTGGCTAGAAGAAACAAGCATAAACAACACATATATAGAACTCACATATGAAACCAGCAGAAGATCATGCAGAAATGATTAGAGAACACTTTAAAAACCTTCAGATTTCTGCAAATTGTTCAAAAAATGAAATACATCGGTCAAGTTTTTCGTATTGAGCTTTTTTACTGGCGGAGGGAAAGGTTAAGGCTTTGATTCAATTCCTACCCCGGAATCGAGATGTTTTGGCAGTAAAGCTAAGGCACATGTACCTCGATGAATCCAGCTAAGCAACTCCACATTCTCGGAACAAATCTAGACTGCCTACTTAATAACGCGCGGTCGTTTTCTCTGTCAATGACTAACATTATAACAACCTACAAGAAATGGGGAAAAGTCAGCAAGAAGCGAAACTTCATCATGCGATTTTAGGCAGCTAGTGCATAGAAAAAGGAGGCATACGATATACCGGGTCAACACGAGGATAAACCCTTCTATTGCATGTCTCGTTTGAACATTGTTTCCTTCTTCCAGCTTCCATTGGAATGGTGCTACTTCCACAAAACCCACAAAACCGAGACACATTATGCCATTCAAGCAATGCCCTAGCCTGTGCATGTCATAGATGATCATAGGATCATCACCCAGAATAAATAATGGCATGTGATTTTTTAGCTCCAAATCATTCGTAGACACCATACTAGCAATATATATGCACTGGGAAGTTAGATCCCCACAATATTACAGAAACAATCCACTATCAGTGTTGTGTAATGCTGCCTGCGAGCGTTAGTGGCCATATAGAACGGATCCAATCACAAAAGCCAATGACCAGATCCTAACAATTTTCGGCATTTAAATGGTTCAACTTTGATCAGAACTCAGAGAACTTGACACTACTTACACAATCTAAAAAGTTAAGTAAAAGAGGCAAATTACAGATATTAATGCTACAAGAAACTGAATGTGATTAATCCCTTCAAGAACTTTAACGCAGGATATGACTCCATTACTACTAATCACTTCGTTTAGTTCATTTAAGTAAGCCCATTTCATCATCTAATTGCCTCACGCTAAAGCATTCTCCTTATTAAAAACCCAATTAACCAGATGAAGGTTTGAGAACATTGATTTCAGATGAACAATAAGAAGCTCACGTACATGACCTGCAATGGCCAGATCATTCATGGCGCGTTCATCCGCCCAATCTGCAGCCACCATTAACGTACGAAGCTCCACGAAACACAGTTTCCTACTCCGCAATTCATCAACCAAACCATTTTCCTCCGACACGTCAACAGCCCAAAACACCAAATCATCCTCCTTCATCGACCCAAGATACACAAATGAGTTCTCACTCAGATTGACCCGACAACTCGCCCACAATCCCTTACAATCCTCGAAGCTGATCCAGCCCAGATGCCAATCCGGTGTCGTATTACCATCTCCGCCGCTCGAGAACACCAGAGGACGCCCTTTCCTGAAGGGCAATACTTTGAAATCCGGCGATGGCGGACTGCGATTGGGGATTTCGGCGATTTGGGATTTCAAAGATTCGAAAGCGGAGGTTGGAGAAAATGGGTCGGCGGGTTTTGGGGTTCTTGACCTTAATGGATTACCGGCAAACGCATGAGACTGTAGATTCATCGACATGGCGAGAGAGGAGAGAGCTCTACGACCGGTGAAATTTAGGGTTCGGGAATTGGAGATGAGAGAGAGAGCGATCGACGATGAGGAAGAGAGGAAGAGAGCGAGCATTTCCTCGTCGTTCTCATTTCCCTTTGAATCATGGTTTCGCAAAAAGACGGAGCGAGGGTGGGAGATGCGGATGATGACGTGGAGGTACAAAGACGCGACACGTGTCGAATTTGTACCCATCGCATTGGAGAGCTTTTACTCTCACGATCATGAAAAGAAAAAGCAATGCATGCATGTCAATGGATTAGTTGACCTGTTAGTGGTGGAAATTTAGTATAGTTTGTACGGTTTGGATAATGTCTGATTTGATTTTACGACGTGAAAACGGTTTATTTATATGGTTTGGATAATGTAGCATTTGATTTTAGGATGTAACGATTATAGTTTTAGATATAAATAATACTCCATCCATTTCAAAATATTTATAGTTTTAGGTCATTTTTCATATTTCAAAATATTTGTCATTCTACATCTCCAATACATTTTTTATAATAGTTTTCAATTTTATCCCTATCAAATTCTAATAAATTATTAATGATAACAGTATACGTAGCAATCGGTTCATATTTTTTATAATCCTACAAAAAAAAAGGGATTATGAACTTTGTGGATTGAATTTTACTAATGTTTTGTTAAGCGTAGGTTATAATTTTTAAAATATGTTTATTTTTAAAACCACAATATCTCACGGGAAGAAACATATGAAGTGAATCCAAGGATGAATATATCGGAAAACTCGAATACGAAATCACTTGAATCGAATACGAACCAAATAAATCCGAGTTTCTTACATAACCGTCTCGCAAGTGAATACCCGAAATAGCTGAATGAATGAACTGTCTTTTAAGTTAGTTTACCGTTAAAAAAAACAAAAGATAGATGGAAACCAAACCTATACCCGATTATATCATATAGTACCCGAAAGCTTATGAATACCGAGCAGTTTCAAGGCGGTCGGAAAGAAATTAGGATCAACCCTCGAGCCCTAGGGTCGATGTCAACCACGCACAGAAGTCGTTCATCTCCTGCGGGATTGTGTAGTGACCAAGCCTGCAAAATGACCATCAAGAGTTAAGGATATCTAAATAATCGGCATCAGAGCTATATGACACTGGTTTCAACTCCAGAGATCTCATCGGACGTCGAAACTCGATCTCGGTGGACGGTTTTTTGTTAGATTTGAGATAGCCTTCAACCCTTTTCACCACAGATGTTAACTCTTCCTATTTATCTACACTGGTTTCGTTAAGTCAAGAGCTACACGACAATGAGATCTCATGAGATGTTGAAACTCAATCTCGATGGAGCTTGTTTTTTCACCACAGATGTTAAATCTTCCTACCTATCTACAAGCACATATTACGAATATAAATCAAGAGTTAAAGACTGTCTATTATTATAATCAGTATCAGAGCTATACAACACTGATTTCAACTCCGAAGATCTCATCGGATGTTGAAACTCGATCTCAATGGACCTTGTCTAAATAGGGTTTTCGTTAGATTCGACATAGCCTTCGACCCTTTTCATTACAGATGATAACTCTTCCTATCTATCTACATGCACTTATATATGCATGTGTTTTAGGATGATGAACTTGGCATCGAAGTCTCAGACTCTGCCTTTTATGCATAGTGAAAAAGGAAAGTTTATCACGTACCCGCTGTAAGGTTTAAACGTCACGTTCTTAAAACCGTGAGCGATCAATGCTTGTGAAGATCTCTCACCGAAATTGAAAGGCACCACATCGTCACCTGGAACAAAGTTACATTAATCACATTTTCCACATCGAAAGAGAGCAAGAAGGAAAGAAAACTCAAATAACGTAGCCTCACACTTAACCGATTCAAGTTAAAGAGCCAGAAAGACGATATGAACATTGTTTTAGTAGAAGTTGGAGATCTAATGCCATTTGAATTACACCCTAGTAACTGATAGCTGATGTACCGTTTTTAGAATAACTCAAGTAAACTGAAAAGACCATAGAGCAAGTTTGACCAATTAGTCTAACAGTTGAACAAACTGAGAAGAAACACTACTAATATTTTATAGGATAAAATGAGATTTACCTTTTCCATGGCAAAGTAAAATGGGCAAGGATGAAGCTCGATGCTTGGCCTCTTCCTCTACCAGTTTGCCAGCCAATGTCCTGGTAAAAAAAAACAAACAAAAGGGTAAATTTTGATACTAGAACACAAAATTATCGCAATTAACACATCGAAAAGTAACTAAAATAATGAGGAAAATAGACGGAGATAGCGGAAACCGTACTTTGCACATGGAAGCCAACCGCTTAGGCCTATGGCTGCGGTTAAATTGACATGGTATGGGTTGCCATTTCCATATTTACCAAGAGCAAAACAAGTAGCAGAATAAAGAGATGTTGCTGCACCCATGCTGAAGCCTCCAATGCCCAATTTAACTTTAAGCAGACAAAAACACAAACATTTTTAGAAATGAAATATCAGAAACTCGGTTGATTGAAGATTAGGAACCAATTGGACTGAGACATAATTGATATTTTATAAGTTTTTCGTTCTTGTGTAATTCTCAGAACAGTGTTCAATGATTGATTTCCCACTCTCCTAAAAATACAAGGGGAAAGAGAGGCGATACGGGAGATCGGAAAACGAATAGGATATTATCCTATTTCTTGTCAACAGATGCAGAGAGGATAAGTTACAAGACTTCTCTACCTTTGAGTCTTGTCCTTTCCCTTGATCTAGTAACTCTCAGACATTGTTATTACGTTAATTTCATTATAACTAAGCACAATAACTAGCAATCAATCAAATAAAAATGTAGAAAAAAGCCAGCTTTCTTTTCGAGTTTAGATTCCGGCTTATACACTTGTAGTAAAATCAGAGTTTTGGCTTCAACACTCAAAATGACAAGGAATTGAAAAACCCAATTCAATGAAACTGTGTTACAGAAGAAATCATCGTTAGAAAGGAAACTTACTGTCAGCAGGCTCGTTAGACAACAAATTTGCAACATGTGCAGCGGCCGCATCCATTCCCTCCGTATCATCAGGAGCATCTTCATTGAGGTCCACAACATCAAACCCTAATCAGAATTCATAAGAATGTCATCAATTATATTTTCACAGAGAAAGGTTTCGCAATTCAATGCCACTGGCTTCCATGTTCAAGACCAATGGAACTACACATTAAGAAAGACAAAGAACGTTATGTTTCATGTATCATTGATGTATTGCCCCTCGGCCAAAAGAAAAGTAAACTATCTAGAAACCCCAGTACTTGGCACAAGACACATTAGTTACTAGCATGAACAAGATATAATTTCATGATATCCCCCATGATTATCTACCCATCACCTTCAAAATTATGGTTTTTTTCCAGTATTGGAATGAAGGCGAAACTCCATGCAGCAAATATACTTACAAGCTGTGGAGGGAAAACCACCAAACAAGCTTATCGGTCGAGATGGAGCAGTAGGGCATATCCATTTGATCTACATTAAAAAATATATATATATAAACTATAGGTAAGTACTCATACAAGTAAAGCATACCCTCACATCTAACATAATCAAGAAACGACATGTTTCATGAGAAAGAGCAACTGCGGTCATATGCCACAGAACATTGGGTGCTTTCTACTCACATTTGGAAGGGGAAGGGTCTCCAGGAGCTGTGACCAGCTGCGAGAGAAAATAATGATTGAGAACTCTAGGGTTACATTATCACGGAAGCCATGAGGATAAATTTTTTCTCAAAAACTCAAAAACAGGTACTCAACTTCAGACATACAAAAATTACCTGGAGCCATTATCGCCAAGCCCATGAAGCCAAACTATAGTTGCTTGATGTTTACCCTTTGGCCGAACAACATGAGTTTTCCCAAACTCAACCGTTCTTCCCGCAACTCTGCCTGAAATAATGAGCAATAAAGCAATGGAAAAACAGAAAATGATACCTGGATTTCATCCCATAAGAAGATCATTGCTTACTTATCAGTTTAGTAAATATAAAATTTCAAGTCATCAATGACCGATTTAAATGGAAAATCCATGAAGAAACTCAGCAGATTTCTCACGATATATATATGGAAATACCGAATCAATGCTCAACAAAAGATGGGGATTACTAACTTGAACCGACAGAAGAACCGGGAAAACTCATATCGAATCACAGGTAAGGCCACCAACAAGATGGTAGCAAGGATTCCCAGGACAAATAAACCTGCAATGAGAAGAATCCATGTTCCATATCACATTCCTCAGGCATTACATCAACCCTAAAGTTAGCATTTCCTAGTAATAAATATGATGTCTTGAAAACATTAATCAGACACCACATTGTTCAAACATCAATAAATGAAATAGGAAAAGGAAACATCGAATTTCATGGGAAAATAATTCTGAAAGAAATACGTCATTCCCCGAAGAAAACATATGGAAACTCTCAAGATTACAAAATCATGAGACCCAAAATGAAGCATAAACCGACGATTGTGCCCATCATCAAAGAGCCCTTATACTCATCTAGACATTACACACCAGGAGAGACAAACCCGATGAAGTGAATCAGGGGAAAAAAATGCCCGATCGTCCGAAATCCGAGGCAATAAAAACACTCAAACACGAAAATCGCATAGTCGAAACGTAAAAATGAAATCAACGAAACCGAAATCGCAGAAGACGATAAGAACAAGTGGAGAAAGACACGGAATCGGAACAAAGAATATGAACCAAACAAAGCACAAATCAGAAACACAAATCTGAAATTTGTTGAAGTCCAAGAGGAGATGGGGCGAGGATACCTTTCGAAGCTCGAGTCTACGAACGCAGAAGCTTCAAGAGGTCGAAAATGGCAGACCTGGTCAGGCAATAATAATCTGTAAAAACTGATGTGGATTTTGCGTAACTGGCATTCTTGTCGCGTTAGTGGATTTTTTTCATCTAACGGCCCACGTTACTTTCAATTATTTATCATTTACTCCTCTAAATATTTATTAATATTATTTCAACCCCTGTAGTTTTGAAAAGTGACGGATTGGCTGTCATTTCGCGGATTTGAACTCAAAGTCCATACAAAATAGAAAATGTGCAGTTTTGGATTCGGATACTAAATTTTAAATTTAATTTCGTTTTGATCTATTCGTGGATGAATGGTTATTAATTTGTGAATCCGTAATTGTCATAATATCCGTAAAAGTCTACGAAATTTTATTATTGGAAATTTGGAAATACATAAATAAAGAAAGAATATATGTTTTTTTTTATTTTATGATGAATATTTGTTTTATTAAAACACTAAAAAGAGTAAAAAAAAATATAGAAATGTTTTTAATAAATTTTTTGAAATTTATAATAAGCACGTGATTCACCTACTATGTATGTAGGCATCCAAATGGAGTATCATTTCATTGTCATAGTTCCCTATGATATAGTTGTCTATCAATAGGAGAGATATAGGATTCAATAGTATAGAAACAAAATATATAGCCAATGATGAAAGTGTATTATTATCTCAAAATCATACATTTGAAAATTTCAATGCGTTGAATATTATATCATAAAGGATTTTTGGCGGTTTTTTAAATATTTAATGTGACATGAGTTTATATATATATATATATATATATATATGTCGTCTTGTCCATTTTTAGATTGAAGCCATATGATAAATGATCAAGATTATTAAGTCCATAAATTCATGGCCTTTATATATGCACAAACCACATTGCCACATTCACCAACTTCATCACCTACCGTTCATCCACTTCCCTGGCCTGTCTCAGCCGTTGATCTGCCATATCCATTTTCTCTTCTTCCCTCTCTCTTCTTGGGCTCTTATGTTTAGTAGGCCCATTTTAGACTGCTACAAAAAGCCCATAATGGGCCCAATATGTGAAGGCATTGCTGACTCATACAGCGGCTCTAGGCTCATGGCCCATTTCACTCCAAAAGAAAAAACAAAACACGACTGAACTAATTTGGTAATATTTTTCTCGAATGGAATTTTCTGAACACGATCCAGAATTTAAAAAAAAAATACAAATTTTTTAAGATTAAAATTTTTAAATAAAAACTGAATATTATATTTTCCATAATTTAAGTTCGAAATATTTTTTACAAATTAAATAACCTGAATTAAAAAAAAAAAACTCATCCGTTTTCCGAATTAACGGTGGATATTTCTTTGTTTTTTTCTGGTCAATTGTTTTTTATTTTTTTGTTATTTTATATGTAATTTATGTTTGATTAATTTGGTTTTTGATTAAAAAAAATAAAAGTCAATCAATTTTTAATTGATATCCTATGATTATGGTAAGAAATCATTTGGTTCAATCTGCTTTTTACATAACCGAATCAAAATATTAAATCCTAAATCAAACAAAAACGTTCACAATAGATTCAAATTGAAACAAAACGATTATAATTACAATTTTATAGAAAATTAAAAACTATTGTTTATTATGTTGACATAGTTTCACAACTCTAGTGGATTAAGTGATTATAATCGTTTTGTTTTAATTTGAATATATTGTAAGCATATTTGGATTTGAGGGAAAAAATAGAAAAAAAATATGATAATATTGTATTTTGTACTAATTAATATCATAAGGGCATGTGCACCTTCGTTAATTCCGTGCATTAGCTTTTGTTAATATCTTTATTCAGAATCCTTATTCTAAAAGTATTCTCAGTCAACTCTTTGACATTATTTGTATAGCCATGCATATTATTATTTTATTCATGCAGTCAAACCACACTTTCTCTTATTTAATTATTTTTATATATTTAATAATTTAACCCCTCAATCGATTTTGCTGAAATTTTGGTCTTAACATCCACTAAAAGGAAATAAAACATAAACATTTATATAGGTGTGTCTATTTTTATTACAAAAACTAAAATATTTGAGGGTTTTTTTGAAAAATAATCTTAATTGATCACCGTTAAAATTGATATTAAAATAATAATAGTAATACTACATTTTGTTAGAACATATATACTCGTTCATATATATACATATATACACACACACCCCATATATGGGCCGACCCATTTATAAGCACAGTCCCCATTTTTAAAATTTCTTTATAAATCTTAATTAAAATTATTAAATACCATTGTAATAAAAATTTGTCCCTGCTTTTACCAAAAATGTAATGATATTTTGTTGTTTTTTTCAAAAGAAACACAACATCCTTTTCTTATAAAAAAAATAAAAAACTCTTCATTAAAAATTATCAAATCTTAATATACATCAAAATTGCTGCGAAACAGGAAAGCTAGGTTGAAATCCAAGTGACAATATGATTTAGTAATTCGTCTATTTCATAGTTTCATTCATGGACTAATGAAACAGTTTCCAAAAGAAAGCTTGGTTTCCATACGGTCGAAAATCATTATAATATAAAAATTATATAATCCAACTTTAAAAATTTTAAAAGCAAAGTTGGCAGATAAAAAATATCATAAGATTCATAACTTAAGCCATAACTTCAGGGCTTCATAACACATTAACTCCAAGCATCGTGATCCATATATCCTTTGACTTTTCATCTCCTATAAATGCATATCCCACAAGATCTATATCTTCATCTCCTACTACTATACATACACATATACACACACACACACACACATATACAAAGAATTCATCACAGCCGCACGATATGCAGCGGATACAGAGCGGTTGTCGACCGTCGGATGAGTTTCTGGTCAACCTCTCGCCGGAATCAAGCGTTGACCTCACAGCGTATGATGTGACGAAGAAAGAAAATGCTGTCCTCAGCAAATCCGTCGGTGAAAGAGCCGTTCATCTAATTCCTCTCGTTCTCTTTCTCTGCGCTTTCATTCTCTGGGCTTTTTCATACACTAGCTCCATGTAATATTATATCTAGGGTTACATTATCACGGAAGCCATGAGGATAAATTTTTTCTCAAAAACTCAAAAACAGGTACTCAACTTCAGACATACAAAAATTACCTGGAGCCATTATCGCCAAGCCCATGAAGCCAAACTATAGTTGCTTGATGTTTACCCTTTGGCCGAACAACATGAGTTTTCCCAAACTCAACCGTTCTTCCCGCAACTCTGCCTGAAATAATGAGCAATAAAGCAATGGAAAAACAGAAAATGATACCTGGATTTCATCCCATAAGAAGATCATTGCTTACTTATCAGTTTAGTAAATATAAAATTTCAAGTCATCAATGACCGATTTAAATGGAAAATCCATGAAGAAACTCAGCAGATTTCTCACGATATATATATGGAAATACCGAATCAATGCTCAACAAAAGATGGGGATTACTAACTTGAACCGACAGAAGAACCGGGAAAACTCATATCGAATCACAGGTAAGGCCACCAACAAGATGGTAGCAAGGATTCCCAGGACAAATAAACCTGCAATGAGAAGAATCCATGTTCCATATCACATTCCTCAGGCATTACATCAACCCTAAAGTTAGCATTTCCTAGTAATAAATATGATGTCTTTATATATATATATATGTATATGTATGTATGAGGATGATTCGTATAGATTTGTGTTCTCTATTCGCTACGTGGGATGTGTTTTTTTTTTCTGGAAGAACACAGATTTTTAATTATTGAGAATTATCGGGAGTTTATGATTTAATAATTGATATGGCTTAATACACTTACATACTAACTTAAAACCCTAAATACAACTATTTACAATGTTATTTATTGTATAATATGTATGTATGTATGTATGTATGTATGTATGTATGTATGTATGTATGTATGTATGTATGTATGTATGTATGTATGTATGTATGTATGTATGTATGTATGTATGTATGTATGTATGTATTTCGTTTTTTGAGATGTTTGATTGTCGTGCCGATAATCGAAAATTTTAATAAAAATCTAAATCCCTACCCATATATTTTATATATTAGATATTAAGATTTAAAATCAGATTTCTATCTCTAAATTTTGGGTATTCAAAGATAAATTTGCAATTTCCAAATGAAAATAGATTCATAATTTTCAACAAAGATTGACAATAATTTAATGGTTTGTAATAAATAGAGAATATATTTTATATAGATTCTAAGTGTGATGTTGTTCATAAACTCACGAAATTTGAAATAAAATTGGAATCATAATCCAGTCTAAGAGTAATCTCGATTATGAATTCGAATTATTCCAATACCTATTGTGTACAAAATTAAATGACAAAATCGACGATGTAAAATACAGAATCTCCATTATACCATATACTAAAAAACTTGTGAATCTCATATGAGTTTTCTGAAATGTGTATATAATCTAACCAATTAATCCTTGCCAAATGGTGCTTGGAATAAACTTAACCGATCCCGGTTCAATTTCCGGTACGATCTAAATCTATGAACCGGACCTGGTATTTCCAAATTCCTATCCATCGCTTTCTTCTGAAATCGCTTTTTTTTTTTCCCCCCGGCGAGTTCTATCTTCCGATTCCTAGGGTTTATTCTCTTTCAATTTGAATCGTCGATTTCAATCGAAGAAGCTAAAGTGATGTTAAGCAGTTGCGTCTTTGTGATCCGTATGCGCTGCTTGAGGATGCGAACACCGAGTCCTGTGTTTCGCCCGGAGATTCTGTGGAGCCATGGATCGTTCTGTTTCTATGCATGGATCCGATTCAAATAGGACGAAGAAGAGGGGAAAAGGGGAGGGTGATTGTGATTTTTGGGCTTACCAGAACTGGCAAAAGCAGACCCGCCATGGAGCCTGCGAAAAGCTTATTAATGGCGAAATCATCAGTGCTGACTCCGTCCAGGTCTATTTCAATCGATTTGTTCTATATGATGCGATGTCTTTGAATCATTGCTGCCTCAGTTTGGTTGAAGTGAAATTGATTTTGAAGTTTCGTTTGTGGATAGGGAAGAACACTGCAATTTTTGGTTTCTTGGAAAAATGTAGCCTTGAATTGACTTGATGGAGTTGGTGTTGAAAGTTATATGAGATTTTGAACTTCCACTCTTAACTCCAAGAAAAGAGTAGGAACCAGTTGCAACATGGTGCGATCTTGCTTATAGAGAAATGGGATATAGACTTCCTCTGATGGGTTTATAGCCTTATAACATATCATCAATATGAAATTGTCTTTTGAAATGCTGATGAATTTTCTCTTTTGCTGTGGCAAATTATGGAACTTTGAATCTGTTCCGTAAGAAAATACAGTCCTGAGTTCTTACTCCGAGTTGCAGGATCATCCAAGCCATCAACGAGCGATAGATATGTATCTCATCGAGATATTTGTTAAGCTTTATTTGTTTGTATTCAACTCTTAATCTCTGTGGTGAGATTAGACTTGAAAGGATATTGCTTAGCTCTGCTCATGTACTAGATAATGGGTGAGCTTTATTGTCGATATTTTGCATCCATCTATTACTTCAGGTTCTTGACATAGACCTTCTTCCAAATTCAAATTCTGCAACTCGAGCCGTTGGGTGCAGACAGGTATGAAGTTATGGAAAGTGAGTGATGGAAGTAGACGATTGCACTGATGAAACTCTCTTTTACAGATGCTCCTTGTAAAATCTGAAATCCCAGGGGAGTTAGAAAGTAATGTTCAACTCTTTCTCTATTTGCACAAAATGAAATGTCGCTCGTTATCGTACCTTTTCTTTTCTTCCTTTGTGATGACTTCCCCGAAAGTAGCTAAAATCTGTACAATTTGTATGCTTGGACCGCGAAACTTGACATGGTTTCGTAATGAGCCCATCTATACCATTGGCTCACTGCCTCTAGTACCATCGGTATGTTTAGATGTAACTTTATTTTTACATATATGAAGTTATGGTTGTTGGTAATGATTTACTTGGTCCATCACAGGAGACGATACATGACTTCATTTTGTGATGCATATGGAGATCAAGCTCGAAACTTTGGTGGTGCCCGAGTTTCTGAAAACGAGCAAAGACACGCAAGAGGGTCAATCTTCCTATGAGCTCAAGGAATTCTGCCCGGAAATTAGGTATCCAGATGAAACAGACCCTTTTCTGTATGCCTCTTCTAGTTTGTTGTTCATCCGCTGGCTTCTCTCGGTTAAGATTTTGGAAAGGCAGTCTATACTCGATAAATATTTATGATCCTAAGACTAAAGTCATATGGTAGGCATATCATGACAGTTCAAATTAGGCCGAGAAATGATAATGAGAACCCAAGGACTTGATAATTAGAACCCGAGGACGCAGGACAGAAGTTCCATTCTTCGAATTCTGCTTTGAACTTGTGTTCTATACTGTTCTCTGCAAAACCCTAAAGGGGAAAGAATCCAACATAATTTGCTGCAACAAAGGTGAAAGTATCATGAGTTCTTATCAATGGAAAACCATTGAAACACACTTTTGAAGTGTTTGTGTTTTTTCATTTGTTCTGTCATTAGATTTGGTCAAATCTTAATGTTATGGAAGAGGTGTCAGTAATGTTTTCTTCATTAGCTTTTTGCAAACAAAAACACATTCGTTGAATATAAATGGCATTTAGTGGTTGGAAATTTTCTAATTTTGATAGCTTATAAACCGGTCGGACCGAAATTTCTCAAAATTTTAGTTGAATAAATACGTTTCTTTTTGTTTGATTCTTTAATTATTTTATATTTGGTTTAATTTTCAGTTAGGGTGATGTGTCTATTTTTATTTTGGTTTTTGATTTGGGTGCAGACATAATTTCATTCACATTATCGGGTTGATATTGATTTTGATTTTGATATGATATCCATACCAAAATAAGCACCCAAACCGCCAAACCCTAAGGAATCTTTTGGTCTTTATCTATCAAACTCAAGTCTAGGACGTCAAATCAATAACATAACACATTCATTTATCTCAATTTAGGATTTTTGAGTTACATATAATTTATTTTGAGTTACATTTATAACGAGGAAACTGACAAAGACAAAAAAAATGTGGTCGAGTTTTATTTTAGACCATAAAATGTCATTATCAATTCGGTGGTTCTGCCTAATCCATTTGAGTAATCTCACTTCCCTATTGGTTTCTTTACCCAAATCCCTCCATTCAATTAATCGCATTATATAAAAATACCTTTAATAATAATCGTTAAAAAAATCCTATAATATTATCCAACAGTTGTTATTTTCCATGTGATACAAAAAAAAAAAGGAGAAATCGCCATAAAAACCCTGTACTCTTCCCAGGTCAACGAAAAAACCCTGTACTTTTTTGGTTACCAATTAAACCCTATACATGGTATGATTAACCAATAAAATCCCAAACTTGTTAATAATTCACCGAAAACCCCCCGCGTCTGCCAACTCAAATAAAAATGATGATGTGGCAATGACTTGGCTTCCAAATTATGTACACATCATCAAAATGATGACACATCATCATTTCAAACAAAAATAAATTAAATAATTTATTTAAATTAATTTATATACATATAAATTCATATATATATGTTACATGTATAACTAATATATATATATACATATTATTTTTAATAGATACATTATATGTGTATGTGTTAGTTATAATTATTTTTATTGTAATATGTATATGTATTAGTTATAATATACATATATTTTATCAAAAAAAAATATACATATATATTGTATTGTAGTTATGTGTGTAATATATTGTAGTTATACATATAACATATACATATATAACTAATATACATATTACAATAAAATAATTATAACTAACATATACACATATAATATATCTATTAAAAATAATATGTATATGTTACATGTATAAATATATCTATTAAAAATAATATGTATATGTATATGTATTAGTTATACATGTAACATATATATATACAACTAATATACATATTAAAAGAAAAGTAATTATAACTAATATATACACTATATATTAAAAAATAATATATATTAACAAATAATATGTATATATATATTATTTTTAATGTAATTTATAATATATATATATATATATGTATATTTTAGTAGTTATAAGTAATTTTATATGTAATATATATATATGTGTGAATTTATATGTATATAAATTAATTTAAATAAATTATGTAATTTATTTTTGTTTGAAATGATGATGTGTCATAATTTTGATGATGTGTACATAACTTGGAAGCCAAGTCATTGCCACATCATCATTTTTGTTTGAGTTGGCAGTCGCGGGGGGTTTTCGGTGAATTATTAACAAGTTTGGGGTTTTATTGGTTAATCATACCAAGTATATGGTTTAATTGGTAAGCAAAAAAGTACAGGGTTTTTTCGTTGACCTGGGAAAAGTACAGGGTTTTTATGGCGATATCCCCAAAAAAAAAAGTCAATTGATTTTCAAACTCTCGACTATTTACATGATAATGATATAGAATAAAATATTTATGGAATAAAAAATAATTAAAACTTGAGAAACAGCAGCTGTTATAAACAAATTTAGTAAAATAACTTTTCATTGTAATTTGAAACGCCTGTCTAATGCTTGTGTTTGGGTTTAGTTTCAATTTGGGGTTTAGTTTACGGTTAGGTTTATGTTTTAATAATTTAAAACTTTTATTTTTTAAAGTGTCGTTTTCGTAAATTTTAGTTATTTTTTGGATTATTAACTACCTACCCTTTCTAATCAATTGTATAATTCAATTACTTTGGTATAAAATTATTTTTTTGTATAATTCAATTACTTTGGTATAAATTTATTTTAAAGAATACCATTAGAAATTGTTGATGTCTTGGACTGACCTTTTGATTCTCTCGCTTCTTTGGCAGGGGACCAAATTAGGACCCTCACTAAATATTTCAAATATCTAATGATATCATTAAACGCTCACATAATCAACTACTAATTATGATTAGAGAAAATATACCCTTTCTTTCCGTGATCTATAAAATTTGTTTTTTACACACAACATATATAATTAAATTAAATTAAATTGAAAAAAAAAATACCCGAATTCAGATGTGGATAAAATCTCTTGGCCGTTTGATCGCTTATTTATAATCGTTTATGGATCGTTCCTTCCCTGGTATGCCGACGTGTCATATATGTTTGTTTTCTTTTATTTTAAATTTAATGTTATATCATATATCATATAAAAAAAATTGTATTTTTAGTTTATTTTATTTTATTTTTGTCCTTTTGATCCTTGTTTGGTTGCCGAGAAAACTGAAAGGAAACCAAAAAAAAAAAAAGAGAAGGAAAGAGAAAGAACTCTGCTTGTCTCAGGAAGAGTCATGGTTTTCCTTGCTTCCCAAAACTTTCCGTGACGATTCAGTGACCAAATCTTCGGTTTAGGTATAATCTCAACTCCATATCTTATGCTTTTTTTCAAAAAAAAAAAAAATTTCAGTTTTCCCCTTTGCCCCCCCTTTTTCTGGGTTTTATCAATCTTGATGTCCGCTTGAAGATGGATTTTTTTTTGGAATTTTCCTTGTGATTCGTGTCTCAGTTTCTTGAGAATTTTCTCAGTAACCAAACTGATCCAAAGAAAATCCATTCAGATTCTATTCCCATGTCGTGATCTGTGAATCTGTGTTGTATCAGAAGCCATTGAGTATCTGAAAGCAGAAGAATCTGAAATCTTTATGGCAAGTGTTTTTCCCCTGTGATAGCTCGCTTGCAGTTGAAGTTTCTGAATGCGAGAGATTATACTGATTGTGTATAGGTATACAATTCATATCCATAGATATATATAGATGTATACCTACACATATACGGTCTCAGAATCAAATTCTCTGCGGGATTAAATTCTGTCTCCTTCGAGAATTTGATGCCTTTTTCATTCTGTTTTCTTTGATTTGGATCAAAATTTGACATCCCTCACACTTGGGAGGAAACTGAGCTATAATGCTTATCAACAGGAACTCGTATTTATCGATAATGATTATATCGACGCTACTTAATCTGCTGTTTGATGTTAAATTTCCTTTCCTAAATGTGAAATATATATACAATGCCTTAAACGTTTCTCATTATAGGGTCCTTAACACTCTTTGCTCTTGTTTCATGGAATGTTTACCAATATTCTCGATCAGATATTCGCGATTTTGGAGTAGCAATCATGAGATTCAAGAAGGGGAGTGAAGTTGAAGTGTTTAGCAACAGGGAAGTCCCATCAGGAGCATGGCGCATTGCCGAGATAATATCGGGAAATGGGCATTATTACAAAGTCAGGTATGGAAGTTATGCATGTATTGCGTCTGATGGAGAGAGGGTACCGAGGAAAAGTATAAGGCCTTTGCCTCCTCCGGGGGAGGTTGTAAAATGTTGGGCACCTGGTGACATTGTAGAAGTTTTTGAGAATTCTTCTTGGAAGATGGCAGCGGTTTCCAAGATTTTGGCGAGGGATTGCTTCTTGGTTAGATTACTTGGATCCTCACTGGAATTCAGAGCAACCCAATTCGACATTCGGGTTAGACAATCTTGGCAAAATGATGGGTGGATCACGATAGGGCAGGTACTGTTCATCAATTCCTTTGGCATGCTGATTTTACAGATACATCTCTAAAAAGAACTTGCCATTTTGTTTGTAATTATCTTCTTTTACTCAGATCGGCTTGTGGGCTGTTTTGCTTATAGCCTTTGAACTGACTTTTTTTTTTTTGTTATTTATGCATCTCCTTTCAGGGTTCTAAAGGTGTCAATGAAGGTCAACATGATCAATCTTTATCCATCAAGTGTAAAGCAAGATTAAGCACTCAGTCTCATGTAAGAAACTCAAGGAAAAAGCTGAACCTGAAAGGTGATGTTATTACTCTTGAGAGTAAAGGCGAGCTTGACGATTTTGATGTTCTTTCATCTAAAGGTTTAAAGAGAAAGCCCTACTCTCTGGTTGAACCACATGGTCTTCGAACTGCCCAGAAAATCAGAGCGGTTGAAAAAGGCTGCAGACCAAATAGACCTTTGGCTGCTGCTTACCCGTCAACCTTCCTTGAAAAGGTAGATGATAATACCCTTTTCCCAGGGAAAACTATACACGAAAAATACAATATTGGTTCAACCGAGAATCGAACTGGCAGCTTTGCTGATGTAGCTGAATCTTTGTTGGCAAAAGGCGTAGAAGAAGAAGAAGAAGAAACAGAAAGTATTGCTTCTTCTGTCGGTAGTTGTAGCATTGGTTCGTATAGTTTCGTCCCGATCGAAGACATCAACGAGAATACTTCAAGCGATGCAGAATCAGTTTGTGGCTCAGAGAGTCATAGAAGAAAGACCATTCGACCGGGGAAGCACTCGGAAGGTGAACTCCATAGGTTAGAGCTGGATGCATACCGTTGCACGATAGAGAGACTTCATGCTTCCGGGCCTATAACTTGGGAACAAGAAGTATGGATCACGAATCTCCGAGCCGCCCTTAACATATCGAACGATGAACATCTGGTTCAGATAAGAAATCTTGTCTCTGCTGATAACAGCACTGTTTACAGATAACGGGAAAAATGTCATTACCCTGTTTTCTTTCTCTAGACTTTTGTCCTGATTTTCTGCCAATTGTCCATCTATGATGTTTTATAGAATAAATTGATCTAGGCTGTACAATTTGTACACTGTAGAGCATTTGAATTCATGAGTTCATAAATGTATAATTCCCAGTTTTTTTTTTGGGTGTGTTTTCACTGATTCAGGAGAGTTGCTTTGTATCTATGGAAGAGTCCTTGTCTTTACTGTCAGAAAAACTTTTGTTAGATGGGTTTCTACTAATGCTGCAGATTCTCCAGACAGCCATTTGAAGCCGTTTGTCTTGTTTTCTACTAATCTGTGGAAATTATATATATATATATATATATATATAGTCCTATTATAGTCATGCAGTAATGCAAGGAAGTCTGTTTGTAACTGTTTGCTTCTGTAGTTTTTGTCTGATTCTTTTACTCTTCTTTTTTTTTTAATTAAAAAAACTCATTTTCTGTCCTCGAATCGAAAGATTCGCAAAATAAATCCATAAGAATATAACAGCAGCAATTAGATGCGATCAAATTTGTTAAAAAATCAGAGGCGTGTCCTTTTCGGGTACGGGTTGAATATTTATTTTTAAAAAATATAATAATTTTGTGGAGGTTGAAACTTGAATTGTTTATATTCTGTGTAAGAATCAGATACTGAGTTGGGCAATCACAAGAGTTAGGTGTTTGCAGACACCTAACTAATATACCCGAAAATGAGAAACCTAATAATTGGCGAATACGAGGTTGCCGACCCAAAACCCCAACCGGGGGGTTTGGATACGGATTTCATTGATCAACTATCGGTACGAGGTTTCAAGTGAGGGTGTTACAGATATTCTATTCGACTGACTGAAGGGATTACACGATCTTGCCTCAGCCTCGGCCTCGTTGGCTATTCGCCTCATCAAACATGTCTCTCATCAACCCTAACCACATCCCAATACGAAGTCACATTCTTAAGAAAGAAAAACGAAGCTCCTAACTACATATTTTTTTAACCGGTTCGGAAAATCGCGGGGATTTAGAACCCTTCTCCTCCTACAACCAAATCCCACGTATCTCCAAATCCGAAACCCAAAAAAAAAAAAGAGAAAAAAAATACTTAGATGATTAAATATGTAACAACCAAAAAGCCCCCCCCCCCCCCAAGAGCATATATGATAATACCCCCAACCGCAACGGTAACCATTCTCTCTCGCAAAGAACTATGTAACATGACACACAGACCAAACAACAGTCAGAGTCCTCCTCTTTACTCAAAGGTGTCATCATCGTCGTCCGGAAGTGGCTGAGCTGCTGCTGCCAAGAGCTCTGCCTCGTGCCTGTACACATAACAGAGTTTGTATTCTTATTACAAGTTTCCCGATGATAAACCCGAGCAAAGACAAAACGATATGGAATGCATAGTTTTCATGTGATTCATAGTTCCGGAATAGTGAGAATCGAAAACTTACTGCTGTTGGGCAGCCAAGTCGATGGTAACCTCCGGGGGAGCAAGAGCAGGTGATTCCACAAAGTGAAGGTTAGGGTCCCTGAAACAGAGCATATTCAGTGAAATTTTTTGCCGCAGATTCCCGATCTTGACTGATTCATAGTTAAGGATAAAAGAAGTGATTGCAGGTCTTACCCGGCGAGTTTCCGGGCAAGGTACAGGAACGGCTTCTCAAAGTTGTAGTTGCTCTTAGCAGAGATCTCGTAGTACTGGAGATTCTTCTTCCTGTGGAAAGTCACTTGCTTGGCCTTCACTTGCCTGTTCTTCACGTCAACTTTGTTTCCACACAGAACAATCGGGATGTTTTCACACACCCTACGGGAATGAATATCAAAATAAGCTTTCGTCCCAGATCACAAAAAGAGAGGATCAAGAAAAGGCATCTGAGAAGTATTAGAACCTGCATAGATCACGGTGCCACGTAGGAACGTTCTTGTATGTCAGACGAGCCGTGACATCAAACATAATGATGGCACATTGTCCATGGATGCTGCAAGAAAACACACATACTTGTTTAACAACACACACCTACCAAACATAAGACAAAAGAAGATACCATACAAAAGAAATCGAAAAGACAAGTTTCATCATGCAGTCAATATAATCACCACATCATGTAAGCTACATATGCATATTCTCATTACCCATGTAGCAATAAGTGGTTGTTAACTTGTTCAGCACACTATCTATACATGCTACCGAAATGAGAAAATGAATGCAGCTTCTAAAACCTTTCCACTACCAAGATCCCTGGAAAGAGCAGTGCACTTACTAGTATCCATCTCTTAGACCACCAAATTTCTCTTGTCCTGCGGTATCCCAACAGTAAAAGCGGATCTTACCACAGTTTGTGAAGAAATCGAGAGGATGAACCTCCACACCAATAGTGGCTGCAAAATACAACATTAACCTCATCAAAAGACAATCACAAGGACACAATCTGCATATGACAAGCAATCCTTCATTCCAAGTACTTACGTTCATACTTCTTCTCAAACTCTCCCGTGAGATGTCTCTTCACAAATGTAGTTTTCCCTGCACAATCACAGATGACATTGGCTTTTAGAATTGACAAATCTATTCAACGAATTCATATCAACTCGAGGAGAACACAACCCAAATTACCCAAAAAAAAGTCTAACAACTTATTGTCTACAAAATGAGATATGGTTTGGGACTCATTTCAGAATACACAGCTACTCCTCAAAAGCAAAAACCCAAAATTTCTGAACATGGATATGTTCAATCATCTATACAAACTATTAGATAATATTCTTTGATAATGTTTGATATACGGTTACAACAAATTCCTATATGTATTAGTGCTTACATTGATGATTGTAATGGTGTTAGTATATGCACTTGTGTTAAAAAGAAATAATATACAGAAAATTTTCATTTCGTAACTAAAATCATCATCGTACTTTCACGGTTTCAACTTCATAGACAGCCATGCATTCTTGAGAGATGATGGAACGATGAGTTTCTCTTGCTACCAACGGGCAAGTATTTGATTCGAACGTTGTAAAAAGATCCTTTCCATCTAAGCAAAATTTTAATGGATCCTTTACAACGCTCGAATCAATCACCTGCCAGTGTAAACTATACCGTTGAAGGTCTCAACATTGGTGTTTAATGTATGCGTGTTGATGACAAAAGAACTCATCATTCCACCATCTCTCGTATATGCACGGGAGGGATCCCGCAGAAGCCGTGAAAGTACGATAATGGTTTTAATTACGCAGTCACCAGAATTTGTCTGTCTATTAATTTCTTTTAACACAATTTTTACATAGTCTATCGCACATACTAGCACCGTTACAACCACCAATATAAATGTTGATACATATAGAAATTTGTTTTAACTGTATAACAAACATTATATAAGAGAATATTATCTAATAATAACAATCATACCATTTTCTACGGTCCAACCACCCATCCCGTATAAGAGATGTATGAACATATACATTCTCAAACACGGATAGGCATTCTTAGTTGATTCAGACGCATCAAATGGACAAACAAACAACATATACAGAGAGAGAGAGAGGGAGAGAGTACCAGTGCCTCCATCACCGACGATGACAAGCTTGAAGCTAGGGTAATCGACGGTCTGCTGATTCGGTAGAGCCTAAACACACAAAAAAATATCACAACAAAAACAACGAAAAACTAAAAGCAATTACGAGATCTGAAAACGAATAAACCCTAGAAAATCAAACCAAATACCCAACGACGAACAAAAACAAAAGTAATCAAAAGACAAGACACAAATCCTCGACACACGCATAGAGAGGGGGAGAGAGAGTGAGGTTTCGCTCACCATTGATAGTCGCCGATAGGAATCGAGAGAGAGACAGAGATTGGGGTGATGAGAACGGCGAGAGGGAGAGAGGGTTTAAAAAGAGAGAGAGAGGGGGAGCGTTTGGCTTAGGGTTGACGCAATGCTCATGACCGTTGGATCTGATGACTCTCTTTTCTCTTTTGGTTCTGCATTTCTCACGCAGCTTTGTCCACCGTTGGATCTCATTTAGCTTTAAGTCCACGCGTACCCATTATGCGGTGTTTCTTTTTCTTTCGAATAATAATAATTTAAAAAAATTTAAATCAAAACGGTCAAATATTTTGAACTTTCCTGACCCCAAAAGCTAAAAATTCTAAAATAGTACCCTTACTTTTATGTATCTCTCTATTTCGACCCATTTCTTTTTAATCTTCTCCTTACATATTAATTTCGGACATTTCATCTCGCACTTTCATAGTTTACAAAAACAAAACAAAATGAACTGAGATGTGACCGTTTTATTTTGGAAGATAGATAGATACTCGATCATAGATAAGAAGATGAGATCTATCTATGTATGCAAGTGTATCCATGAACGAGATCTGTGACAAAACGTTACAATGTGTATGTTTTTTAGCTAGAATCTTCGGATATCCGTTAGAATCCTAAACACATAGATCAACCGATACTTCATAGAAACATGAACACTTATTTGTAGGGATTATCGTTTCGATATTCGAGTCAAGAATGATCCGTTTTTACAAAAATAGATATCAATTTGTTATTATATTATATTCGATTCGATTTTTATTTAAAAAAATTTAGATCTTTTTTTAAAAAAATTGATTTTTCAGATTCGATTCGATTTCAAAAAATTTAGTTTTTCTAACATTAATACCTTTCAAAAATTTTGGAGGATTCGGATAGAAAAAAATAACTCTTTTTTCAGTTCAATACGATTCCATTATGAGGAATCCAACCGAAACATCCACGCCTACCTACTTCTTGTGCAGACTAGTTTTCTCGACTCCATGAGAAAACGGATTCGAGATTCTTACGAGATAGATTTCCTGTCGACTAATATCGAAACAGTCCGATCCTCGATATACGTCGATTGTTGTGGATATTGTTAGGGTTCCATATCGACCAAATACGGGTTTTAGTTGGTATGTATATAGTTTAGGCCTTCTCCCTTACAGGGATCTTAAGAGGATGGATAATAGCCTACAGGGTAGGTTTCAAATAGGCACATCATCACATGTCAAACAATACCCTAAAATGCTTTTAACCTAAACTAGGAAATCGGATCTCCAAAGAAAAAAAGCATAGAGAGAAGGTTTTTTGAAGGTACCATTTTTTTTTTTTTGCATAGGCAAAAGCTTAAAACCACAAACTCTCACTTCTCTCTCTTCTTGAGAAAGATAAGAGAATTACTTCCAGAGCTTACGAAGAGACATGTTCTTCTCTGTGTCTTTCTTCATAACCTTTGCAACCGCCATCTCAAAGTATTCTTGTGTTACATGCACCC